CATTTGCAAGAAGGTGTTCATTAGTGATCGCCTGCCTTCTACCAGTAGCTCTGTAAATCAGTGAATACTGGACTTTTTCCAAAGAAAATGTGTTCATGCTTAGCAAATCTTTGGCTATGTTTTCTGGGTAACATTGAAAATCATGGTTTTGATAGCCTTTGAACTCTGGGCTGTACTAGCATAAGTATATCATTTGGGGAAAGTAGTGTAGCTGACCTTAAAAAAAAAAAAAAAGTGAGTTTAATTTTTAAAGTATGTGATAGCAAAAGCGTCTTGTCCATTTTGTGATACAAACCTGGAGTGAAGATTGTATGAAAACTGTAGCAGACAGGTTCAGAAATCGGTGGACAGGCTGAAAATGGGAGGAGATCAGGGTGCTATGATACAGCATCTGACTGGAATATCTCACTACCTGGTTATTTGAACTGCTCACTTGCTGGAACAGCTAACGCTGTGAGGATGAAAACTGACAGTTTTTTGGGGGAAGTATCAGTACTGCGTATACATCGATTAAAAGCAAAATAAATGCATTTTATTGTAAGTCACAAAATTCTGCTCTTCTCAGGAAACAGCTCACTTTGTGCAAGTCCAAAAGTAGTACAGAAACAAACAGTTCACAATATCATGAGCAAATCAACATGAATATGCCTAATTACTTCATGGAAGTGTTTTTACTCTATTTTGAATTTAACTGTGCCCACACCCCATAGGCTGCAGCAACAAATTGCAGTAAACAGATTTCTCATAGCCTTAAAACTCGTTAAATAAAAAATTATGCAAAAGAGCTACTGAGAGATTCATTCGTACAACAGCTCTGATTTATGTTACCTGAGAGTTGGCATTTATTTTATGCCAGTTCTCATTGCAGCAGAGAGATTTAAAAAACAAAACAAACTCTGAATCTCAACTTTGTCTTAATATTTGAAGCACATAGCTTAATATTAAGCAATCTAACTCATACAGCCTTGTGAAAGGCCAAACAGACACTGGATGCAGACAGGGAAATGGAGACAGGATATGAGGGTGTCAAATCAGTGGCAAACTTGAGTTATTCACTGTTCTGTGTTGATGTCTTCTCATTTGAATGAAAGTTAAAAGTTGAACTTGAGGCCAGAGGGAGCATGGTGGGGTGGTGTTACATGAGGAATGCTGTCTGCTGAAGGATGTTGTGGGGTCTTTTTCTGCCTGCAGGAGGGCCACACAGAAGAGCATGAAGGTGAAGAGCAAGTCCATGACCAGCCCCAGCAGCAGGAGGAGTACTGACTCACCCAGCGTCTCTGACAATTTTCATTTTGTGTGAGAACTTTCTTCTGGAGAATGGAACATGTGTGGCCTCAAACTTGAAATCAGTTCACTCCCAGTCTGCCATTAACATTTATGTACCATAGTGAGTGCCAGCCAACCACTGCATTCTGTACCCATACTTTGCCAAGATGCATTTGCAGAAGTCTTCTTTCAGTGTATCTTCCCAAGAGGTTGTAGGGCTCCATCACCTACTGTACATCACTGCAACTTCACCACTTGGCTGCTTGAGATTTGTTCTGCTCTTTTAAGAAAATATATATATTTATTTTTTTCTTTTTGTCTTAAGTATGATACACTTGTAACTTGTTCTAACATATTTATATTGGCATTTTGTGTGGCAAGAAGTACCGTACCACTAGCTGTGTCTCTCACTTTGTGGTGCTTTGGCGTTTCCTAGTACATCTGCCTCGGGGCGTAAATTCGGTCAATTGGAATAAAGGGATACAGTGGAAGTCGTGCTCAAGCCATAACGATGAGGTGTGTTGTGGAGGAAAATGCTCGTGTTGCTCACGTTTATTCCTTTCCCGCCTTCACGAAATGGAAGGCATAGCATCTGTTTCACTAGGAGAGATTTAAAACCTTGTGTTTAGAAAGCTTGTTAGAAAGCTGCATGGTATGTTTTTTGACTTATTTCTGGAGGACAGACATCCACTTCCGTTTTTTGAAAACCCTCCCAGTTTCCTGACTAGTCAATAGACATTTCCCAGCTTTGCTTCCTTCCCGAGGAGTCCTGTCCCAGCCTCCAGCTTCAGCTCTGCCTGCAGAGGGCTCAGTGCTGATGCAGGGGAGGAGTCTCCTTGACACAAGTGTAGCTGCAGGACACGATCTCTGCTGTCATGCTTGGCTTCCCACCCCTCAGAAGAGGACAAAGTAGGCCAGACATTTCTTTTTGCTATCCTCCCCCCTCTGCTGCAAGTCTGGAAGACAGAAAGCTTCCTCGCTAGTGCAAGCTATGGGGGAAACCCAGCCACAGAACTAGCCCTGAAAACCCCAGAACTCCCTGTAAGTGGGTGGGGGACACCTCGCGGGTGTTGAGGCCACTTCTGAAGCGTGGAGAGGCAGCGAGACGTCCTCCTTGGAGACAGTGCGTGCATCAGACCCGCTGACCAAGGGGGAGCGAGCCAGCTCTGCGCTTGGCTGACCTTCCTGCAGCGAGGCTGGCGTGGTGCAGCAGCACATCCACCCTGGAGGCGCCCGCAGTGAGAGTGCTCCTTTCCAGAACGGTCCCCACCGCCCTGTTCTAAATGATGGTATTTTATAAACAGGTATCTTGAAGTGTATAAAGCATTCCTTGTTTTTATCGTGAAACTGTGCATCCTAGTCTCTCTGAATATTTTATGCTTGGTATTCTTGGTCTCTCACTTGACTTTCCGTAATTCTGGATTGTTCCTCTGATCAAGCAGGTACATGGAAGTCCCAACCCAGTCTGCAGTCACTGAAAAAAAATTCAAAAACCCATTGAACAGCTAAACCTTCTTAGGTCTTCATGCACTCCTAGAGCATGAGCTCCCAGCTGATGCTTCCATAGAGAGGTTTTTAATTAATCAGCCCACCAACACGCGCGCACACATGCAGTTTTCTGTTCCTAAGAAATCTTTTGCAGCTAAGTGGCTCTTAGTTAAATGTGAGAACGCTGCTGTTGTGTTGCACCGCAGGCAATATATAAAATACTGTTAAACCATTAGAACAGGTATTTCTATTTCCTTGATTGCTCCCTGCGCCCGTAGAGTTTCTAGACCCTCTGGGTTGAAGATCTTCTGGCCCTGCCTCCAGCATTGACCTCACAGCCTACCTGGTAATAGCAAAAGTACTGCAACCTGCAGGCCAGCACTTTCCTTTCTGATTTTGATTGGTTACAAATAAGATCTGGTTTATAAAACTGTGTATTTTCCAAACTAAGTATTTCCAAGAATCACCACAGATGGGGGAATTGTCATTTTCATTGTATTTGTGTTTATTAGAACCTATGTACTTATTACAATTGTCATTGTAATAAACGGTAGTTCTTCATAATGCTGTTGAACTGAAGAGCAGTCACTAATTTTTTTTCCAGTCTCCAGAACGTCCTTTATAGGGGATTTCTGATGGGGCAAGGAGTTTGGGATCAGGCTACAAACCTAATCATCATCAGCAGTCTCTGATTACTGCAGTTTGTCCTTCTGCTAATATTTGAGCAGGTGCAGGGAGAGCACTTCAAGAGAAAATGCTTCTCTGAAGGTGCAAACAGTTGGGTTGTTGAGCTCCCAGGGGTTCATAGTCAGGCTGTGGCGCCTCTGAACTTTTCTCTTTGAAGCACATTTAAGGATCAACAACAACAAAAGCTGAACTTCATCTCCTTAAGTTCTCTATACCCTTTTTTTGGTCTGAGGAGTGTAGTGGTCTCGCTGCTTGTGTCAAGGAAGAAGTGACTGATGCAGGGAGCCAGGGCAGTAAAATACCTCTTGGGCACTAGAAATGTGGCTGTGCTGAGGGGAGAGCGATGCTCTGAAAGGGGAAAGAGTTGTCCTTCTCCTCCCACCCCCTGCGAGTAACCCATTATTCCGTTATGGTTTTGATATGCATTTGTAATTACCTTTACTAAATAGCACACCATAAAGCTTTGGTTATATATTAAATGTAAACTGAAAGGAATGTAAACATATGTATTGTTAATTATAAATAGATAAGTAATGACATAATAGATACAAAAAGTCTTATCCAGATGTATCAGTCATTTTACATTATCCACAAATTGTCGCATGGTAGAGTAGATTTTTGTCTGAATATGTGAATAACTTGACTTGCGTTTATCTTTTTACATATTTAATAAAAAAATATATGTTAAAATCTGTCTAGCTCTAGAGACTTCAAAACATTCTAAAACAATACTTTTCTGTTTAAAATACATATATTTAATTGCTTTGTTACTGAGTGCATGTGGGAGCAGGGAGAAAAAGACAGCTGCTTTAAAAAAATAAGTTCACTTATCCCAGTGTGTGCAGGTAGTGTCTATTTCTTTCCCCAAGAGCCCGGAAACTGTATCACTTTCTACAAAAAAAAAGGTGCATGTATGTATATATGTGTGTATATATGTACATGGAAACAGAACATTCTTATTTTATGGCAAATGCTTTCCAATTTCAGAGTACTAAATCTCCTGTAGCATCACTTAGTTTGGGTACATCAAAAGCAAAGCTGAAGGGAGCTGGGAGGGGAAAAGAGCACAACAGATAAGGCACTGAAGCACCTAGTGGACTTTTGTAAGGGATTCAGGGATAAATCTTCTTTGCAGTACCTAAAAGCCACCTGTTTTAGACCTTTCTGCCACAGGTTGAAGCCATCTGGTTGCGTGCCACCACTGCAAGGTCAGACCAGCTCCTCCCAATACCTCCAGGTACCCCAGGGCCCCACTTTGGGAATGTTTCTGATACGGGGGTAGGTGAAGCAGGGACCTGAGGAGCCAATTTCCAACCTGGGTACCCAAACCTGTGTGAGCAGAGCTAGTTGTATTGCTTTTCGTAAGATGTGGGGGAGGCGTGTCTTTGGGCTTGTGTGAATACTCCACAGCATAAAAAGGAAGTAATGCATTTTCCAGTTCAAATAGTTCAAAAGAAAACTCTCTGACTTAATTTTTTGGCCATAAAAAATTGTTCTTAAACCAAGCTCTGGTCATCTTCATACCGTTACCTGACTTTGCAAAATAAATCTGACCATACTGCTGTATGAACAAAGTGTTTTTATTCCCTTTCATTGAACCAGTTACCACCTGAGGTGGCTAACAATTCGATATGTACACAGTGCGTTACATGATCTGTTTATACTTGTCTTTATAGAGATTGTAGTGACAAGTTACTTTCAAAAGGAAAACAAAAAAGTTTGCCATGTCTTCATGTGGAATACAAAAAAGCTGTCCGGAGCTTAATTTCCTTTTAAAGTGATGCTATAGACACTGTAGAAAGGTACGAGTGCAGGCAGCTTGTGGCAGTTCAAGTTTTATAATTTCATTTAATGCAGTACTTCAAAATACTCCATTACAGTGTATCAAATTGTGCAGCTTTTGTGCCCCTTATTTCCAACTGGTTTTATAAGTAAGTGCAAAATAGAGGGAAAAGGAAAGCCTGTCCGCGGAGTTCCTCCAGTACAACCACTTGCAAGCCAGAGGTATTTTTGTTGTATTCTTATTCTTTTCTTGTCAGGACTTCCTCCAGATGCTTTTGATGGACAGGTTAAAAATATTGAAGTAGGTCAGACTTTTATACCAGCATATCTTCTGTCTGAATTAATACTTCAGCAAGCGGTGAGATTGCTTGGTGCAGGCCTGCCTCACACTCGTAGCTGCTGCTGGGGGAAGTCTGCCCTACCAACATCGTGATAGGCCAACTACTGTGACAGGCAACCCTAAACTGAGGCTGTTCACATAATACACAGGTGGAAGATATGGCTAGTCAGTGGTCATCCAAAAACTGTAGTGCTCTTACTGATGTACGAGGATGTTAACTGGGGAAAACGTCATCAGGCCAGTGATAAAGCCAGAAAAAGGAAAAAAAAAAAAAGAAAAAAAAAAGTCTACAAATTGAAAATGGTGAACCTGAAGTTTAGTGGCTCAACACCTATGTTTCTGCCCTGCTTCTGGCAAGTGAGATACTTAACAGTTTAATAAACATGCCAGTCAGTCAATCTCACCCCTCTGTGCAAGAGATGTAATAAAATGCTTACCTTGGGGAAAGCGGACAGATTGTTTCATTAGTGCTTCAAGGCCACAAAGTCCCTTTGGCTAGGGCAGCATATGAAAAGAGATGAAACTCAAATTCCTCCTTCTTCCTCCAAGGCACACAGAAAGCCCACATATATTATAGATGGAGAGAGCAGTTTACATCTGCATGCAAATGTGTAATGTCAAAAAAAAAAAAAAAAAGCTCTTGTTTGATTTGGTTGGGTTTTTTTGTTTGTTGGTTTTTTGTCATTATCTGAAACCACAAAAATTTGTTTCAAGAACACAGGCAAATAATTGTTTGCTTAGCATTTTGCACTGATAGACAAGGTTCAAAAATATTTAGAATGTGCATGGCTGGCTCATTTTTCACTGCTCGTTTCACGGTTTAGAAAGCTGTGTGCTTTGCAGTGAAATTTGAGCATATTCAAGCATTTGTTGGCCAAATTTATTCTCAGCTGGTTACCTTTGTAGGGCATATTGCTTGTTGCTACTTAAAATATCAACAATGTGCTTGTTACTGCATAGAAAATAAGTATAAAAGCAAGCGCCTCCGGTATGGAGCCTGCATTTTGGACGGATACAGGTCAGCTGAATTTCATCTTAATGCTGGGGGGGGAGGGATCCTGCATTTCAAAAATACTTCAGTGTGCCCATAGCTTTCTGATCTCTTTCTCTTCACACATTCATCTGAGGTGAAGAAAAGACTGAATGTGCGTAAGCCCTTCAGGAGACTGCGTGGAAGAAATGAGTTGTGAGAAAACGAATATGGAAACTGCAGCAGGCACAGATGTCTGAGTGGGAAGGACGTGGTGGGTGGGTTTGCATTGCCAGGGTCTCAGTGGTGAAGAGCCTGGGCAAAGCCAGTTCTGGTTATAAAACACCAAGGATCCCACGTAACCCAGCAAAGCTTTATCAAGGGCTGTGGGCACAGTGGCAAGGAGGAGGAAGACGAAAGCTTCAGAGAAGGTGACATGGCATTAGGAAAGAGAATAAATATTAGCAGCAGCACAACTTGGTAAACACGTCTCTGCTGGACAGGACTTTTCCTCTGAGATGAAGCATCTTGCTGCATAGCTCGTTGTCGCAGTTGTTCGAGTATCTGGACTATTCTATTCTTTGGTTATCTTAATCAGATTAATTCCACTATTTATCACATCAAAAGAGCTGGAAATCTCCATGTCAAGTGTTACAGTCTGACCATAGTGCAGGTGTTCATTCTTGGACGCGTTTCTTCAGGGAAAAGATGTAAATGTTGAAGTGTTCACTCAGCTGCCTCCCCTAAAGATAAATCACAGAGATTAGCAAACAGCCCTGTACAAGCTTCACAGCTCCCCATCTCTCTTCTCCTGGTCACACTGGGGAGGACCCAGCCACCGCCCTGGTGTACTTGGGGCCCTAGGAGCACATGGGGACCTACAAGTATCCAAGCACGAGAGCTGTGATCATGGCACTCCTCTTGCAGCACACCAATGGGAAGTTAAATTACTACAGGCCAGATCCACAACCCTCATAAATCATGATGGAGCTGGGCCCACTCATTCAATAGTGGATTTTGACCAGGTGATCCCATGGTGATCTCCACTGACTGGCCCCTGGTGGTGCTTGGGTAAAGTCCGCTACACTGGCTATGTCTGCTGACAAAAGGCCTCCTGCAAAGGCAGGAGGCAAAATCCTCGCATCCCAACAGCTATCTTAAATAAAGGAATGCTGAGCAAATCCCTGTGAAATGAGGTCTTTGCCATGCAAGATGTTTTATTTGAACATAAGCCCCCATTAAGACACTTTCCTAAGGATTATTTGACAATGCTTTTTGGAAAAAAAAAAAAAAGGCATTAGCTGGGGAAAAATGAATTTAAGCAGTAATTCAGAGGATAATAAATGACAAAACTGATATCTAACAGACATAAAAATGCGTGAGTAAGACTGAATGAACTGGAAAACCGTTTGTGTCTCCAGCTTGAGAGATGCTAAATAGAAGGCCATGAAAAGATGAGAAATGTGGACAGTTGTTTTGCCTGCAGATTGAAAGCAGAGTTAGCCACCTTATTGTAGGAATTTTATGCATTTTACTTTGCATTTTACCTTTCTGTTTTTTTCACTCAAGTAACCTCAGGAGAAGAAAGGGCAAAAGGGTGAGGGCATTTGTGCCAGACGGATCAGCTGTTACGTAAACCTGTCCATAAATATTATGACTGTGATAGTTTTAAAGCCAATACCAGTCATTTCATAGGAATTACTCATCACTGAGGCCGCTGCATGCACAAAAAGGCACTGCCAGCAGCAAACTGATGTTATTTTTATTTTTTTTTAACTTTAGACTAAATAAAACACAAGAAACCTGTAACTTAAGATTCAGACTCCTGGACAGGGCCCCAGCCCAAGAGCACAGACACCATCCCCAGGCCCTATATCAGCGCCATGCCCGGTGCAGCTCTTGCCCGGTTGTTTCGGAGCTGCCCTCTTACCACGCAGATGCCGTAGTGCACATGAGCTGCCGTGACCAGCGTGGTGAACGCGGCCAGCACCGCTTCTTCTGCCCAGCCCAGCAGCCCCGAGATGGCTGCGTAGACCACCAGCGCCAAGGGGAACAGGAACCAGTGGAGCAGCTCGGGCCGGGTGCTGCTCATCTGGCAGACGATGACTTTGCACTGTGGGAACAGAGGTGGCCAGGTGAGAAGCAGAGGGCGGTCAGCGTGTTCCTAGACAGCCTGCATCCATTTTCTCTGTGAGTTGCTTTTGACGGGGGAAAAAAACAGGCTAGGCTTCAAAATGGAGCCTGTTTCTACTACTATCGATGACAAACTTTGTGCCTCATTGTCTGTGACTCTTAAAGGACTTTATTGCAAGTAATTTAAAATACACACTTTTTTTAGGGAGACAGTGTTTTGACATGCTGCACTTTATGAGCTGAAGCCCAGCTTTGCGAAAGGGGAGTTTGTTTGACACTGTGCTTTCACACAGCCTCGTAAAGTTGTAATCCCAAATCAAATTGCCACCACTTGGTCACTAGGAGAGCACAGTGGTATTCTAATCACATGGCATGGCAGGAATATATTCTGGTTTGTGGTATGTAAGGGAGAGAAAGCAATGTATATCTCTTTCAAATCCTGTTTTTCTTTCCTAGCACTACTCTATCTACTAAAACACCCACCTGGGCAGCACCATTTCCCTGGCTCGATTATGGAGATGAGCTCTCTGGAGATGGAGCTGGGGCCCCAGGAAAGGGATCCCACTCAGAATGGCAGAAAAACAATGAATATACGATGCATGACTCAACGGAAAACAATTAGCTTAATTTTACTGAGGTCCTGAAAAGTCATGAGATGAACTCAGCTAAGTTCAGATTTATACAGTAAGGCACTTAAGGCTTTTACCTGATTTAGACTCCTTAAGCCATTTGTCTCATATACATTCTCTTTGGGGGAGAGAAAAAAAAAAAAAAAAAGGAATTTAGGAAATTTTTATCTATTTAAATTTCATTCAAAATTTGAATGTGGTCGCAAATAGATTTTATGCATCCTGAAAACAGTGGGGAAAAAAATGAAAAAAAAAAAAACATTCCCTGTACAGTGCTTGAAATCCTGTAACAGCAGGAGTAGCAGTCTGACTGAAATCTAATGAAAATACTGGCTTTCCTACATATGTAAATTTATTTGCTTACTTTGAATTATTGGTATTGACGATGAATTTTTTGAATAGCACCAATTCTGTAAGTCCTTACGAATTGTTCCAGAGGGTATCAGAGATTGCTTTCCAATCCCCCTTGCCTCCACCTTGCTGCACTACCCTGGCCCTGCTGGATTTAAATCTCTGTGCTGTATACCCCTGGGCGGGTCCTGAGCATCTTTTATGATCTTCCCCAGGAGGTTCCTCATGAAGCATCTCCTGAGGCAGCCATCAGGGGACCACCACCTCAGCTGCTGCACTGCCACTGTGGTCACAGCTAAAGATCTCCTCTGTGGGGCCTGAATCCTTCACTCAAGTGAGGACACTCGCCTCTGAGGGCTTTGCAGGAAAGACAAGGACAAGCGTCTTCCTTTTTAGGCCTTTCTTCCTCAGTTTAACCAAAAATGTTGGAAATGTCCCATCTCTCAGGACAGGCTGGAGGCCCTTCCTTCTGCCCACAGATGGGAGGCCACCACCGTCCCCACACGTCCTGACTTCGTGCAGCTGCAAGGCCGGGTCCACGGCCAGGCCTTTAACCAAAAGGTCGGCGGGGCAACGGAGCACGTTGCCAAAGGCACAAGGAGCTTGAGATAACATTGAGTAGAGAGACAGGGGCTGCAGTCCGTGGTCTGCAGGCCAGATAATGAAAAACCAGCACGTCTTACATTTCAGCTAACATGCAGGCATTTTTAATTCATGTAAGCCTCTCGTACTGCAGTGGATGTTTTTTGGAAAACTAAAACCAAGGCCTTTAAGTGCATGCACTACACTCAGTGCCTAAGAAAATGCAGTCTGCTGAGAAACTTCTGTTTTGCCTTACTGCTTTTCTTCTATGTTTCTGTGAACTTTTGTCATATTAAGTCCTTAAGATGGAATTGTTCAATTTGCGACCCTCAGAAACATGTATTTATAGAATACATGTAACAAGTATGACAACTATTTTTTTCATTCCTTAATATGTTTCTGGAGGGGTTCTTCTTTCCCTTTTAATAATTCCTGCATTTTCCAAGTTCTCTCTCACAATGCAAGGCATTTCAAGACTTCCACCTTTTACATTGGATGCGGTAGTTGCTCAGTGACATGATTTTAGATGGTGATGGAGACTGCCTTCCTGAAATGCCAGCAGTCGCTGTCCTTTAGGGTCCCTTAGCATTAACCAGAGGAACACCTTTCTACTTAGCTGCTGCTCACTTGCTACTCTCCTGGCAAGAAAAGAAGCACGAGGCCGCCTGCAAAGAAGAAAGCCCTGTGCTTCCTGCAATGGTCAGCATTACTGCCTGGCTGCCCATGCTGTTCGCCAAGGTTGATGTCGCCCCGTTGACATTAAAAGGGGCAAAACTGGAAACGGTGTTCATGTGGTGTAGGAGAAGGCAACCCTTGGGCAGAGAGCCATCACTTCACATCTTCCCTTAAAAAAGGATGTGGGTGGCATGGCCTTATTCTGAACGGTGAGGGGGAGATGTGGGATCAGCTGACGTGCAGGATACAGGACTGCGTGTGCCATGTTAATGGGGAAAGCAGGAGGCGAAGGCTACAGCCACCCCCGGCTCTGACTGGTAAGTCTGTGCCTTCATTGAGCTTCATTTTACATTTCTGCCCATATGCAGTGCATATCTGTTAGATTTCTGGAAGGGAAACCTTCCCAGGGTTATTCATAAAGCCCTGGGGCAAAAAAAAAAAAAAATCATTAAAATGTTCTGCTGTAGTAGAATAAGTACTGCAGCACTGTAAGCGTCCCCAGCCCAGACAACTGCTGTGATGTATTTTTGTAAGAGAGAGCGTAACACAGAGGTAGAGGAGTGGTGTAGGCGATCCTGCTGAATTTTAACTACAGTTTCTGTTCCCTTCTGTTTATTTATGTAAAAATAGAAGTCTCGCTGACACAAAGCTGTCTCTAAATAATACCACCACCACAAACATACTTACAATAACATTTGAGAAAGTAACCCCAACCATCCATAAAAACAATCTTGGTTGCTTTGCTAATATGTTGCCTGGAGATAAAACCACCCAGACTGTAAGAAGAACGAATAGCAACAGAGGTGACACGAGAGGTAGGAGTCCTTCATACAAAGAACCATTCTTCAGTGTTTTCTTTAGATGTGCTCTGTAAATAAATACAATGATTTTATGGAGTGAGAAAATTTATCCATTCTGTTTCCACACAGTAACTTCAAACTCTAGCCTGAACTCAGCCCAGGAATTCATCTTGCAGCACAACTACCTGTGCAAATGTGTTAGGTAGCAGGGCTTTTTAAGAAAAATTGTAGGATACCCAACGAACACTGATTTCTGGGCTAAAATTATACTGTTTTGTATGCACAGCTTCTGTTCAGCTCCCCTCCCTGATCGCTATCTGGCAGCAGACCACTAGCTCTGGTACCATAGCTGTCGTCCACATGCACAGCATGCAGACTTGTTGTGAAGTCAAAACATACATTTTTAGATGATGAACCTTCTAATGTGAGACATGTAATGACTTTAGCTAATATGCCCCATGTTTTCAGTGACAACACAGCCACGCACATGGCTGGCAGTAATTGCTGTTGTCTTGGTCAAGCTAAGGTGCTGCCAGACAATTCTGCATCATTGGCAAAATGCAACGTAAAGGTAGAGAGACAGGGAGACACTTTTTTTCTTTTCTTTTTTTTTTTTCTAATTAAATAAATGGAAAATTAATTATGAATTGTGTTTTCTTGGATATTTTAAGTTTCCTCTTAGAGATAACAGTATTATCGGTAATAAAGGAGTGTATTTTCCGTCAGATAGAAAAAAAATAAGTGTAACATCAATAACTTTTGCACCTTTCTTGCTTACTCATCTGAGCAAAACTCAGAAGTTATAAAAGCAGTAGGAGGTTTGATGTACTAAAAGTTCACTAACATTAAACCATTTCTTCATATATACATTGCAGATGAATGATTCTGTTTGAAGTGTACTGCAAAATATCCTGTTTAAAATCTCTGAATATTTGTGTTTATAAAAGCGGCTAGACAAAAATCCAATAAATATTTTTCTCATTCCAAAAAAAAAAGAGCATTCTTCTGATAAAATAACAACTGAGCACAGGCAGCAGGATGAAGAAAGAAAGAAGATTATTGGAAAACTCAAATCCCTCATCATCACATAGCTCTTGTATGGATTCTTCAAGCAACCCTGACTGGATGTTTAGAATTACTGTGCTCTTCTGTTCAGGGGAACAATAAATCCCACCAGAAGACCTATGTCAGAAAATGACATGAGATGGCAAATGCTAAACAAAAGTCTTGAAATGAGAGGAAAGAGAACAAAAACTCGATGTTCATTAGGGTAAATGCTGCTGCTGCTGCCAGGGCTTGACATGCTCACGGTGCTGTCTGCCTTCTCCCAGTCCTCCCTGAAGTAAAGTCCCCTGCTCCAGTGCCTCCAGCCCCATCCCAGAGCTGCCCCAGGCAACCTGCCCCAGAGCCCAGCCCTTCTGCAGGTCCTCAACCCTTCCTGCCCCCCATCGCCTTCCCTGGGGCTATAGGGCGATGTGAAAAGGGCTCCGTAGGAACTATGCATTATCATCTTAGAGTCTCTCCAAAATTTAAATGCTAATATTCATTCCTGCTAATTCCTGAAGACAGGGAGTGACAGTCCCTCCTCCAAGAAACATAGTACCTGAGAGACCTGATGTGACAGATGAGGGAAACGAGCTACCAAATACTAGAGGAAGGCAGAGAGCATTAATAAAAATAGGCCATCAGAGTATAACCGAGCTGTGTATAAAATTTCTAGGTGCAGCAAGCCAACTCTTGGATGTAATCACAGCTTGCCACGTGCCTAGCCCATATCTGATGGCAATTATCTGCAGCCTTCAGACAGAGAGGAGTTTTACAGGAGGATCTGAAAGACAATAAACTCCTTTATGGAGTGGGAATGATCGGCTACAGAATGTTACCTAGAGCAGGTAAAAGTTACAAATCACATTTGGCTGCAAATAAAACACAGTGTTTATAACTGGAAGGCTTTCATCAGTTTAGCATCCAGGAAAAGTGGGAGACTGTCCGGAGAATGGCAAGGGAAAGAAAAATCAGAGGAGTTACAGACATGGAAAAGAAACCAGTCAGCTGCTGAAAGCTGACCAGAAAAAAAAAAAAAGAAAAAAAAAGAAAAAAAAACTACAGTAACTACAGTACATATTCAGGACAGCATCTGGCTGAAAGATTACATTTATTTCTCATGTAAGAAAACAATTGCATGCAGAGAATTAAATGGGAGGGGTAGTACTTATATAATATTAATTCACTTACCTGTGAATGTTGTATAGTGTTTGTGGAAACGAAAGAAGTAAACTGAAGCCTGGAAGGAAAAGGAAAAAAAAAAAAAAGAAGAAGAAGATTCATATGCTATGATTTACAGTCATTCTACATTGACAACCTCACAGTCTGTCGTATGATAGCAGAGCTAGTGAGCCATTTTAGAACTGACTCGGTATCCCAGTACTCCTCACAGGATGCAAACTCCATTTGGAGGCTTTACTCAATAATACAGCCTTCCTTATTTTTCCAAGAGTTAGCTGCTAGAAGTAGCTGCTGATGCAGATTTTCTTGTGTAATGAGTGACAATAGCTGGAAGATTTTTGAAAATGACGATGTAATGAGTCGGTAGGATCAGTTATTTTTAATACAGGTTCCTCTGCTGGACCTAAGAAAGATCACGGCCCCATTTTGCATGAACTGCTCTCTGTTCATGTAGAAAGAGACGAGTCTGACACCAAAAGCTTTCAAGTGGAATATATAAGGACAATTAACCTCCAACAGTGCTGCCCATATTAGTGGGGAAATAATAGGTTTACAGTTCAATATACTGAGACTAAAATAATGAGCTGCTTTGCTGAGACAATGCTGTAAATGAAATAATTTTCATGATAGCGTTTGGATGAGATTTTTTTGTCTTTTTTTTTTAATACAGCTGTGACCTTTCTGGAGCTCAGCTTTAACTGACAAAGGACAAGGGATTTCCCTTTGTTAACGCTGTGTCTCTGCATTGCTGCTGCCGAGAGCCCTGGAGCTGGCTGAAGACCCACAGATATACTGTGCAACACCCACACATCGTGTGTTGGTCCATCCGAGGGACAAAGAAATACTCCAGCTAAAAGTGGGCATTCAAGGTTTAAGAAAAAGCAACAATATTAGTCAGCCTAAGTGGGTGAGAATGTATGCAACCTCTCCTTACTCTGTGAAACCCATGTTTCCCTATAGAGCTCTTCAGTTTGGGTTTGGGTTTTCCCACTTTCTGTGTTATCAAGGGCCTTTACCTGGTCTGTTTGCTGCTTGGCGATCGCTCTATGTAGCATATTTCTGCCTGGCTTTTATATTATAAGGCATAAGGATTATTGAGGGAGCACTAAATACATTCATAATTCATATTTTGTTATGGGGAAGAACAGCACTCCAATATTGTAAACTTTCTGCTTTTACCTTTAAAAAATTAATTTCAGAAATGCAGTGCAGAGTCAGGGCAGCAAACTTTTATCTGGTTATTAGAAATAAGGCAAGTTAAAGGGCAGTAAGAACAGACCCAGGTAAGAACTATTTCCCATTACTTTGCACTGGGGCCAACATGGCTTAATAGGGTCTCAAGCAATGTCAGTGTTTAATGTTCAGTCCCAGCAAAGACATATTTAAGTCTTTAGCATGGCCAGAGTGGCAACTCAAGAGAAGGCAAACTAAAAGAAAGAGCAGGAACAGCGGAGATCAGGAGTACTGGAAAACAAAAGACATAAAAGGGATGCAATAAATATTCTCTTTCCCCAGCCTTTCTGATTATCGTTTAAAGAGGAAGAAACAAAGAATTGGAAAAAACAATGTCCAGCCTGTAAATAATTTCAGGTATTGCTTTTTCATGTGTTTACTTGTTGTTGCTTCTTAAACCAGATGAGACAAAGAACTCTGCTTCTTTACCATTGCAGAAACTGTGTCAAGGAGCTGAAGGCTGTACAACTGCAGTAACAGCCCAAGTATTTTGTAAATATATTTATAAAATTCGCAAGCTTAGTGCCTTCAGAATTATTTGTGTTGTATGTGCACTACAGTTAGCTATGTTTTCTATTAGGCAGGGAGGGCTAGTTCAATAAAATCTTGAGTTACGTACAGCAGTTCCAACATCTGCATCACATTAGAGCAGACATGAGACAAAACATTGACTCTTGAGGTTAAATCTAAATTTCCTGCTGCAATCCTGAAGTTTGATTTGTTAGGAGAAAAGCAACCAAGAGGAACAGAAATAGAGACTGGAACTAGAAATAGAATTCAAAGACCAATGGTTGCCAACGATTTGTTATTTTTATGAAGTGCCATTTTAGTTAGAAATAACACGCTGACCACAAACAATCCCCAAGCTAGCTAAAAGTCGCTTTCTGAACGGGACAGTTACACCAGTTACTCCTCTGTATTTTTAGGCAGCTTCCCTTTAACGGAGCTGAGAGCTGAGGATGCGGTAGGGAAGGCAAAGGGTGTTCCCCCTGTTTCTTATGGGATTTTCAAAATTCCATCATTTCCTACGACATGTTGCTTTCCCCATCTTTTTTTTTTTAGCTAAGGAGGCCTGGCTCGGGGGCTGCTTTTGGTACTCATTAAGTCCGCTTTTTAATTGGCATTAAGGAGTTCTTTGTGCCCGGGAGCTAAACTGCTGCTTCCACATCGCTGCCATTCCCTGCTGGTCCAGGGAACAAAAGGTGCAGCCTGGAAAGCCACCAGGCTGTCCCTCTGGCACTCAGCCACCTTAGCACTGCCCAAGGGATGCTGTTGGTGCTTTTTTGTGTTTTTCTTTCTTTTCTTTCTTTCTTTTTTTCTTTTTTTTTATGGCCTATTTTATTTTAAATTCATTAAAAAAAAATCAAGCTTAGTGCATTAGAAGTTTTTAATCACACTATATAAAGTAGAACTCCACAAGTATTTATCAGAAGTACCACTGCTGCTGCAGTACTGTTTAATTTCACATTTAATGTTTTCCCTCGCTTATTTAAATCCTGAAGCCCAACAGTAACAAAACAGCTCTGCTCTGGGGGCAGAAACACTAAAGCACAGATGGGTGGCACAGATACACACAGGGAATTCTTGGTCACGCTAGGCTGAAGGCATCACGCCCAAATCCTAGGATTTAGGTACAATCCTATGCTGAGTCCTGAGCCTTGCGCTATCTTGCCTCTCTTTTCAGAAAAATAAGCATTTACAAAGCTCTTTATCAGGAATTATTTTGTCTGCATTAAGAAAAAACAAAACAAAACAAAACAAAACAAAACAAAACAAAACAAAACAATAACAACAATGTATTAAGGAATTCAGGATTAGAGATATGTCAGAAATAAAGACATGTCTTGTTTTCCAAATTTGTAGATATATATTTATGTAGATTTATATATCTATGAACATAGATATATGAGCACACGTGCATATATGTGTATAAAAAGGACCAAAAAGGTAATTCCCACCAATTCTAGTAACAACTTTAGATTTCATTTGGTGCTTTCAAATTCAGTTCCAAAACTGTAAGATGTTAGTTGTGTTATATTTCTGAGCAAATTAACAAAAAAAGGGAAAAAAGCTAATATGACAGATAGTGTACTACGTCTGTCTGAAATGTTAGTCTAGACTGGCAGTAATATAATTACATTAAGTTACACGAGGGCATCCTAAAGCATGCCCTAAAACCCACTGAGGGCCAGCAGACTGCAGGGCTATCATGCCATGGCCCGATGCAGTTACTTGGTGTGGCTGCTGAACCTGCAAAGAAACGAACTGCCAGCACTGCTGCCAGTCCTGGAAAATGCTCTTTCATTTGCCAACAAAAGAGGCCTGTGCAAAGCCAGGAACCTAGCCCAGGTGAATGTGTTCCTGAACACACCAAACTACAACGATTTTGAACAACGCTAAATAAAAAACAATTCCAAGTAGGTAGCCAGGACAACGAAAACTCTATTTTTACCGAGTTATGCTGCTTCAAAGGAAGAGCAGTGCTTATCTTAGCTGTTTATCTTCTCCACACCTTTCTGATCCTAAATTCTTTCCTACGGGTACCTTTCCACTCTCCTTGTCCTTCCCCAAAAACACAAGTCCCAGAGCAGTGTATCTTCCTCCCATTTTGGAGGCAGTGAAGAGGTCTGCACAGATGTTTGACTTCACATATTGCAGAAATTTAACTCAGTAAAAACACTTGAACAGCTGTAGGTGCATTCAACCTAGAAATTAAATACCATCACCCTCCTCTCTTATTCTTCAATATCCCATAACTCTCTAGGTTAATAATTCATCATAGTCAATGCTTGCTTTAACAAAATGGGGTGTCAAATGCGCCATTTACCTTCCTTTTCCACTACACACACACAAAAAAATATATACACGTATGTATTTAGGCATCAATATTAGCTTGTAAAGATCTTTAAATATTTTTTCCACATTTTTTTTCTGAATGTCTTCCACATTTAGAGCAGCGAGACCCATGAAAAAAACTTAACAACTGAACGTTTAGCTCGCTGATCAGTGCCTGAAAGTCAGCTTCATTAGAAGGCGAATATTCAGAGGCATTTATAACTGGAGCAGCAGCTTTTTGTGGAACTGTGTGATTTTCCCAGGCATTTCTTGAGAAGACAACCACTTAATTGGTTGTCCAAACAGATAATTGCATATCAAGCCATCCAGTAGCTATAAAATTATGTTTTATTATTATATAAAATGGCAATCTTAGGGCCATTTAGTAATTGGGGAAAAAAAAAAAAAAAACTCCTAGAAAATGTATATACAATTTTCAGACTGAATTAATCCTGTCAAGTCTGCATGCATTAAGCAATTTAAGGACAGATGAGAAGTACCCCTGAACACATCTACACACTACAAAATGATTTTGCTTGGATTAAGAGCAGTATGTAGACTTGAGCACTGTGTTCATGCACAAAGTTGATGTATGTTTTGGATGCTTAGCACCTAAGACTTCTTGAATATAAGGACTGTAAAGGGATGCATTTATCATGCTTGCTGATTTCATTGCTTATTTTCAGAGTCTAGGAAAGACCACACTGCATTTATCTCTTTGAAGTGAGCTGCAAGCTAACAACTAGCATTTTGAGGGATTTAGTAGAGACTGAGAAATTAGTTTATGGATGTAGCTGCTGCTTTGATGTAGTCCTATTTACAAACCATGTAAGCTTAACTCTCTTTTTCTGAGTAGAGCAAGAATCAAACACCTAGGACGTAGGTGCCCTTAGTTGAAAATCCAAGGCTGGCTTCCAGAAGGGCTCAGACGGGTGTCCCCCCTTATTTGACCTTCTTATGGGGCTCTCACTGCCTGTGAAATGACTCCTCACCATCATTAAGATCACCATCATGGGATCAACTCCATCGATCCCACTCCCACCTGTGAACAGCATCCTCTAAAACCACTCTGCCACCAGCCCCCAATACTCTTGTTTTCTGGGTTTTTGTTCTGACTGCTTCAGATAGGTTACTCCAACATTGCTTTTTATATTTATCTCTAGTGACAGGTGAGTATTTCACACCCTTTACTTCAAAGAAGCCTTGTACAATCTGTCACAACAATGCTTTAATAAATGTTAAGTTGGTGACAGACAAGTAGAAGCCAACTCATGTTAACTACACTTTGAAAACAAGGCTAGTCAGGGCCTGTAGGAGTGATAACGTTTGGAAAACACATCACTTAACATTTACTCACTGAACTGTCCACCAGTGAGGTGGAACGATCAGCTAATTCACAATGGGAACTGAAGGAAAACAATAGAGAATGACTTATTGGCACAAAGCAGAAAGCATCTATAAGTAATATATGTAAACGTGAAAAAGAAAAATTCCTTCCACCATCAGAAGTGCATTTAAGTTGACTTTGTGGTCAGTACTTTGCACTGCTATGAAGGCTCGTGGGTTCACCAGCGTGCTATGGGAGAGCAAGGTGCCTCACTGCAGCTGCTCCCTAGAGCTGAGGTAGAGGACCACGTCCAGATTACTCCAGCCAAAAGAAATCTGCCTGCCTGCTCTGATGCAGATATGCTGAGTGGATTTACAGAGAAAATATTGTTTAACTATGGCCTTCCAAACATTTCACAACATTGAAGAAAGAGCAGACTGTTGTGTATCTGCCAACTGCATGGACTTCTGTGTCCTCCTTCGATACGTATGATAGAGGACATTATTTAAGTACAAGGCACTGTTTTAGATGGATAACTGTGTTTTCTCAATATTACAAAATTCAAATACTTGGCATGTTCCAAATGGTGTGGCTTAGTCTGATCATTAGTGTTTTGCTGCCATTATGTTTTCATTTACATACTTGTTCCCTGTTTCATATACTTAAGCAGCTCAGAGAATGAGCACACCTCAAGTCACACACACTCCTTGCAGAGGCCTGTAATAACCCAATACACACCACAGGACAAAATTCTGAATACCTTGGCCTCATCTCTGAAAGAAAGTTCAAGTTTCTGATCCCTGACAGCTGTTAGTACACCATTCACATTTCATTTTCTAACCTGTACTTTGAAAAATTGTGTCAGCTTTGGCACAAGCTTCACTAGTTGGATCTGGGCACTACTGCCTTTGAACATCTCCAGGGATGGGGCACCCACAGCTTCTATGGGCAGCCTGTGCCTGTGCCTCACCGCCCTCTGAGTGAAGGATTACTTCCTTATATCCAACCTAAATCTCCCCTTTTTTAGTTTAAAGCCATTCCCCCTTGTCCTATCACTACACTCCCTGACACAGAGTCCCTCCCCAGCTTTTCTGTAGGCCCCTTTAGGCACTGGAAGGCTGCTGTAAGGTCTGCCCGGAGCCTTCTCCGTGATACTACAGCTCTCACCTCAGTGGTGCCCTTTGAAAAGACCCTAGCTAGCCAGATAATGCTACGGGACAGTGGTGGTTAAATCCCAGCAGGGCTTTTGGAGTGCCATCCACAAAAGCCTTGCTGAGAGAAGAACTAATTAGTTGCAGCTGTGCACACAGGCACATACCTTTAGAAAGGTCTGGCTACGCTCATGCTAACAGGAAACAAACAAACAAACAAACAAACAAACAAATTTCTGTTCAGAATCCAGGATAACACACTCTGGAAACAGACGAACAGCCTTGCTTACTTTGATGTTTAGCTAGGTGTGTGTTAGGGGGCTTAAGGACTGCAGCTTCAGGATGGAATTGCATTCACTGCCTGCAAAAATGATAACTGCCTATCTGCTAGATAGCAGATCTCCCATAAAATACTATGCAGAAGTTTTTCAGCTTCATGTGGGAGTCCTTCAAGGGCACTCTTCAGCAGCCCGAGACTTGACCTTGGTACAGGTGTTCACAGTGTGCTAGACAGTTCCCAGGGACACATGTAAAACTCCCTCTCTCGGGAGGTTTCCCTAAAACATCTAATCTAAACACCGGTATTGCTGCGGTTTTTATGTGTATCTTTGTGTGTTCTGGCACCTGATAAAAATTCCATTTTTAGTGGCTGAGTGTCACCTGGTGATACCGCAGCTTCCACCGAGGATGTGCTTGGAGCGGAGTTCATCCTCAGGTTATATGTGGATTTTTCTTTTTTTTTTTTTTTTTCCCAGAAACTCCAGGAAAGACATCTGAAAAACTCCACTCCTGTGCTTCTCGTTTGGATTCCTTCCCGCTGTAAAAGGTACTCACTAAAGCCCAGCTGTTCTCGGGAAAGAGGCAGCTCAGCAGTGGAGCTCCTGTTGTGTACAGAACAGTACAAGCACGGAGCTGCAGGCACATGCTTCGCCAAGGACTGATGAGGCAGGCATGTAGCCCCATTGTTAGCACGAACACTAGTGCCTCTTAAACGCCACCAGAGGGTTAAGGATAGCCAGTTACAGTTTAATGGCTCCTCTCGGGGTCCTGGGAAACAAACTCATAAAAAGCGTCTGAGGCCCTACTGCATCGCTCTGGTTTTTGAGTGGCCACAAAGGCATTGCTCTGAGCATGCTGGAGAGGGGGTTCCCTGAGTGAGCAAGGCACACTTGCTGCCGCCTCTGCAAGGGAGAAAATAATTTAATCCTCCTGCTTGCTCAGCCCTTGGCATAGGCTAGACCAACACTTTTTAGCACAGTGGGGTCCTGAGATTTACTGGAAGTTTCTAAAAACTTTACATATCCATACTCGCTGCATGCAGGTTATCCAGCGATAAACCCTTTAATCACTATTGCTGAACTGAGATTCAAACCGGCGACAAAGTTGAAGTCCTTTCTGGATCAGCATGATCTTAAGTAAAAGGATGTTACTAATATTTTAATATTTAAACATTGTCTCAATATTTAATATTTAAACATAGTCTCTGTTTTTAAAAGAATTACTAAGCACTATGTAAACGAGGTAATATGCAGTCAACCAAGACCATTTCTTGCACACTTCCAACCCATAACTTGCTTTAATTAAGCTGCTACTGTCACCTTATTAAATGGCATTATAGTTAGTGTGTGATGGATGGTGCTTTTTAAGAAGTTTTTGGCTCTTAGTTACATCTGCTCTGCTTGGGATAATGATGGAAGAAGTCCCCAGTTCTCTGCTTATGGATCCGTTCACACGAGCACATCAGGCACAAGCAGTGCTTCTCTCTGACTCCAAGGGACTACTCCATCAAACTCTGCTTTGCAGCAGAGGATGAAAAAAGGATGCTTGCTTCTGCAGACTGTGTCACACCAACGTGCTTTCCTAGCACAAATCTTCCTAATATGTTGACTAGTTGGAGTTAAACCTTTGCCCGTGGCTTCCCAAGCACAAAGGGAGCCATCTCTTCACTCCCTGAGCTGGCTGTCATGCGCCTTGACAGCAGGAGCAGCCGGAGCCATGTGTGTAGGGTGGAAGGAGGGTGCTCAGGGGCTGGTCCCTGCGGGCAGACACCACCAGCACACGTCTCCCTCACAGGCCAGCACCCATCATCTCTGCTGGACCTGCAGCAGGCCCTCCAGAGCCCTCTGCCCTCCCTCCCTGCCCTGCAGCCACCAGAGGGCATTTCCTAGCTACGCCTCTGGCCGGCTGAATCATTCATTGCCAACTGAAAGGGCAGATGCTGAGATTTCCCTTTCCTTTCTTTCCTTTCCACAGAGCACACAAAGCAAGCCCGACAAATAAAAAGACTGCTCAACCTTGGCCGCACACGGTCAATTTTACAGCCGGGCTAGAGCACAAAGGGCTGTCGAAAAACACGTCCTTGCACATGCTGCTAACAGAGAGCAGAGCCTGAGCCCGGGGTGGTTGCAAAGAGCCCTTGCAAATCTGTGAACGCTGGTGAGCACCTCTGAGGCTGGGGACAGCATCTGCTGTATCTCTGTGGGCAAGGTGAAGAGAACCTGTGTCAACGCAGTGGCTTCAGGAGCGCCCCCAGGAAAAGCTCAGGTAGCTCCTAGCGGGAGGCACAGACACCTTTATCCAAGTCCTTTATTTGGCTCGAGGCCTGAAGGCATTTCTATTTCCCCTGCCTGTGCCAAACACTTCTTTTGGGGCCCTCTTGTCATAATTTGTATGTTCATATAAAAATCTCTAATATATCTCTATGTATCCTAATTTCATCACCTTCACCTTCCAAGCAACACATCGAAGCCATTTCACGTGCATACCTCTTTAGCTAAGACTACCGTGGTTTTAGTTCATTAAAATGTAAATCCTTTGTTCTGAGTCTAGCTATAGCAGTTGAAAGATGCTCAGTGCTTATTTCAAACTACACTGACAGTGCCAAGTAGTGAACAAATAGGCCATTGCTGTGTATGAAAAATGCATCACCTCTGCTCTGAAAGTAGCTCTGAAAGTAATTCTAAAAATAGCCTAGAAACCATCTAAGACCTTCTTAAGATTTACACCTATGCTGCCTAACATTATTTAAATAATACCTTGCTTCCTTTTATCCATAATGTTTTGGATCATCATGTGCTGCAGGCCAAAACATTAATTTTACAGCGCATGTAAATGTGAACAACATTTTACCTGAGTGACATTCAAAGTTCCTGAGAATCTGAAAAACAACCAGTACAGAGCATTCATCTCCACATGTAACTAGGGAACGGTTTTTGTATTATTTGAGTACTGTGGATACAAACTCAGTGAGGAAAAAGTATTTCCATAATCAATCTGCCAGCTTAAAGTTTTCCAGTATTAACCCTATTAATCACATCTATTCTCAGTAGCTTTTGGCCTAGCCAGCACTTACAAAAGGAAAAAGAAGTTACAAAGGAAATACAAGAATCATCTAATCAAAAGAATTAAAAAAACAGTAAAGTTTTCCATGGATCTGGACACTTACCTATAAGCAAGATTACTAATACATCTGTAATGTAATAACCAAACAGCAAAGGCTTCTGCCAAACTTCCACACCAACAAGACCAGTGAGCAGATATGCTGCTATTAAGACCTATAGAAAAAAAAAAAAAAAAAAAGGATAAAGTACTTTTAATCCTTTACTTCTAAAGGCACACAATTTCACTTATCTCAGTATAAATGCAAGTCTCTGCATTACAGGACCTCACGCTGCCATCACAAAACAACTCCTTGTAAGTAGTGAAGCAATGCTCAGAGTAACGTTCAGACAAAATGGTTGAGAAGTCAGCAAGCAACTTGCTGATAATTGATATGATTATTTCTGCAGCTCAGCACCCTGAACTGATCATACCAAAATAACTATGAGAGGAAAAAAAATCTAAGTTCACCCAAAATCATCACAAAATTCCACTGAATGTGGCAAAATCAAAGGATGAGCAGGGAGCTGACATCTTCCCCCATTTTTGATTTGTTTGACAGAAAACATTGTTACAGGATAGAAAAAGAAATAAGTAGTCGAACTTCATTAAGACTGAAAGGACCCATACACAAGCCCCAAGCCTAACATGCTTGAGTACCACCGGCTTCAGTAATGATGTAAATGTAGTTTCTGCTATCTATTGAGAGCTAATTTTGAGACCCAGGTGAGGTCAGAAACCTTAATGCAGCCAAAACCCTATAGCTCCTATAACAAAGCTTTCACACCCACAGTATAACTTGTAGCAGTGCCGCCCACCAAAGGCTTACGGCACAAATTTGACCAATTTCCACCATTTTAGGCGTGCAACCTGCAACTACAGCCCCGAACATGGTGCAGCAGTTCCCAGGCCGTTTTGTCCTTATGCCCCCCCCTTCTGTGCCCTCCTCATCCCTCACTACCAGCTCCTGCTGGTGAGGGACCAGCTAGCACAGGCTTCGTGCCCCACTCCTACTCTTGCTTCTTTGGGTTTGGGCTGCTGGTAGTTTTTACTACATTCTGTGTTTCTTCATTTATAACTTTGACAAACACATTTCCAGCCTTCTAAATCAAACCAATGCTTTAATGTAAAGGTACACAAAACTCTTTTTTTTTTTTTCTAGATAACAGGCTAAAATCACAGATTAGCAGCAAAACGCTGCTGTTGATTAAACTTCCTATTACATATAGATACCTGCTGTACTTGACTTCACTTACTTCTCTGTATCTAAATGCGAGATTCTTGCCTTGCCATTACATAACTTGCAAAGAATTTGCTTGAATGGGGCACTGCAGGACTGCATGAATGAACTGCCTGTGCAAGGACAAGCAAGAGAACTGCAATGGAGAAAAGCAGGCACTAGGACGAAAATGCTATCACAGGCCATTGAAAAAAAATGGCCTAAATGAAGGATGTGTACAATGGGTTTTACAACCGAGTACAACAGAGCTAACATTTGGCTTCCTAAAGAAATTGCATTATGTTATCTATAAGACATGACGGTTGGACTCCTGGCCCCAAAAGAGCTGAGGGCACAACTCCAACTGGCTTTGACAGAGCTTGAATTTACCCTCACACGTTGAATTCTGAACAGATATTTTTGGCAAGTGATGAAAGGGGAACTTCAGTATTATCCACTATTACAGTCAGTATTTTTGGCAGTACATTCATGAGCATCGCTGTCAGATGCCAGCACACCTCTAGGAACAGGAGCGCTGATGCAACAGGCTCTCTAGGGAATCCCTGTGCCTTGGGACTCGGTGATTCAGCACTCATGGCTACGATTGTCTCGCATTGAGCAGATGTTTTGTATGAGAAACACTCTTTGGCTTCAGCTCTGTGGTATTGCATTTTTTAGAGAATTTTAACTGAGGCCCCAGCATCACTGAAATTCATAACAACAACCACTTTGACTTAGCTGCGGCACTCTCGCAGATCTCCTTTAGAAAGCTGGGAAGATGAGAAACTGGCTGTGTCCCTTGATCTAAGCTGTATTAGCAAAAATTGAAGATTGTCAGACAAAACCTAAGTATGTTGATAAGCTGTATAAACACAAGTCTGTTTTAAAAGGTACTGCTGGTAAAAATAAAAAAATATATACATACATACATAAATGTAATGTAAAGTTGTGTTCTGAAGTGCAACTGAACAATTCAGCTTGAGAAAAGATGGCCAGGCTTTTTATTCCCATCTCTGACATTGATTGGATTTAGTACTTTTCATATGTAAAGCTAGTATTTAGCAAGTACATTTAATTACAACACCTTGCAAAATGAGAAGTCCAATTTAAATAACACAAGTAAGGATTGTATTGCAAGTGAGCGTCAGACTTATACAGTACTGGATTCTGCAGCATCTGACCAGGCCAATTTTTGCTTTGTCAAGGCCTCATCTGTGAGATAATAGCACTTAGTGCAGACAAAAAATCTGAAAATAGATGGTGTTAATTTGTAGGTTAAAGTGTTCTGCACACATGCTCATCAAGTACGCTGCATGTTGTACTACACAAGAAAAATCAAACATTTCCTCATAATTTTTTAAAATACGCTGGCTATGCTTTTAAATTTTTAGGATTCCACCAGAATGATATTATTTTTACTGCAATATTCAGTTTCACTAGCATATTACAATAGTATTAATTGATCATGTCTTGAAATGCTTTCCATTAACACGGTACTTAAACTGAACATCTAGAGAGCAAAGTCATTTAAAATACAAGTTTATGTTTCCTCCTAAAATATGACATTTTCTTAAGAGTAAACTTGAACCACTCCAGTGCACTCCTACCTTTAAACTAAATAATGATAAATATTACTTCTTCACCAGAAACACAGTCGCTTATTTTTTTTCTTAGTAAAACACTGAAGGTAAATGTTATTTTAGCCTGAAATAAAAGGACGCTCAATTCCCATAATGTGACCAAAGAATGACAGATGCACATCTTTATTTATCTTTTTAATATACTTTTTTTTGTCCCTCAGAGGAGACAGACATTTTTAAAAGCTGTGATGTGCGTTGCTCTGGATTTCTTTGTTGATTGCTGAGATGCTGGCTGCCACAGCACTTCCCAGGAAAAGGGGATATGAGAAATATGCCAGCATTAAGTTTTGCAAACTGCTTGTCAAAGGAAAGCCTGGTACATAGCATTCAAAAATCTCCTTCTCATACTGAAAGGAGGGACAAAAGTAACTTCTACAATGTTGACATATGTCATACACTTCATTTATTTGGAGTTTCAGGGCAAGCAGATTTTTCTCACTGGGACTGTACGTGGGACTGTCCCACACAGGCAAGCAGACATGGGAACCAACAAGGGAAGCACCTCAGACTGAAAACCGGGGGCTTGTGGTCTGCATCTCCGTGCCATCAGGCCAGGCTCTACCATACACAGAGCTTCTGGCCATCCACTCCTGGCAGTGGCCGGGCAGTGCTGGAGCGAGCAAAGAGCTGCCTGCTTCCTTTCACGTCTGATGTTTGTGCTTTCTTGCTTTTTTTCTTTTTTTTCTTTTTTTTTCTTTTTTTCCCAGCTTGCCCTCTTGGCTGGGAATAATGAGAGGAGGGAATGTGCAAGCCACCTGGGTCACTGCAGCTCTCACAGGGTTCTTATTTTCACTTTTAAGCTGGTATTTAAGAAAACCAAGGGCACGTCCCTGTTACACTTAAGGCAGGTGTAAAGCTTACAGCACTGATGGCAGCAGAGGTACCACAGCATCACAGTAAAGAAAGATGAATACTCTGCTCCCCTCCTATGAACTCAACTGCAGTGGCGTATAAAAAGCCACAGCAGAATTAGGTAATACTACATTTTTCAGCGGAAAACAGATTTTTAAATAACCAAGGGAATGTCTGTAAAAATTAACACATGGCAGGAAGCCCAAAATTGTCATTTCTCAGGAAAGCTTTGTCCTTTCGTCTCCAAGAAACTTGACTTGCAGGTATTATATTCACTTTCTTTGGTTGGGCTTGTGACCAAAAAAAAAAGTGATCATTTTCACTAGATGTATCTAAGATGAGTTCCCACAGAAAGTACCCGGGGTTTCTTTTTAAGCCTTGCCGGCAGCCCATGACTTTGGGGGTTTCTAATAGATGTGCTCACTTGAAAACATACCAAAAACTGTCTGGATGATGTGGTATCAGGAGGCCGCTCCTCCTGCATCTCTCCCTGCCTGCAGAGGACAAGCACGGGACAGCTTTGTGCCTGGGGGAGCAGAGTGGGGAAGAGCTCCCAGATGCTGGGCCCACAAACACAGCAGTCCTCTGTCTGACTCTCTCAGCCCGATCACAGCCATTTTTCAGGTTTACACGACACGGCTTCCTCTAAATGGCTGTCTGCTGTAATCAAAGCTAATTGGAGTGCCAGCTACAGCCCAACTCCCGTAATTAGGTTACCAGTTCTGATGAGTCATCAAAGCACAGAAAAATGTGATCTGCATAAATCCCACCAATTTCTCTGTTCATAATGAGGCACTTTTTTTCCTGATGAACAACAGCTCTTTTAATACCACAGCTAACACAGAGCCGGTCAGAGAGGGCTGCCTGTCTTTATATACAGTGGAGCTGACTCAGCAGCAGTGCCCTGGGAAGCTACCTGCCAGTTAAGTTTTCATTAGGGTCAACAGTTACTTATCTGCACTGCTTACCTTAATTACAGTATTCCTGAGCTTTGTGACAATAATGAAGTACAAAGCCCCTGGGTGCCGTACATTTTTAAAAGCAGAAGTAGGGGACGAGACCACCTGAATGTCTGGCATGCCGATGCGATAGCATCATATTGCCAGGGAAATTATTTAAGACAGAGCACAGAGGCAGCTTGATAGGAATGCCATGGAGGAAACCCAGAGCTAACTGCCTGGAATCAGCCTGAAAGCAGCCTGCAAGTGCTTCCTCACCCTCTTCCTCTGCAAGCAACTGTGGCAATGTCTGGCGGATGAGTAGTGCGGAAAACAAACCAGCCAAACAAACAAAAAACTGCAAGGGTAATTTTGTCTTTACTATTTATCGTTAGCCATTTGCTACAGTCCTCCATATCCTCTCCTCCAAGTAGCTGGAGAAGAAGAGCTACATTTATTAGTGCACATATCATATGACATTGCTGAACTGGTTTACAAGAAAAAAAAAAAAAAAGAGAGCAAGGCAATGTCTGGTGGAGAATTGGAGAATTAAGATCTTTTACCAGACTGATTAGTACAGCTGGAAAAAAAACATATGTATGGGCTTTCTGGTGTGCATAGTATTTAGTCTGTACTAATGAAAAAAATACTACCTTGATCTACAAGTTATATATTGCGTTTTTGTTCACAGACAACCACAACTACAAAAGCTAATTTTTACAGATGAGAAAACTGATTTACAGAGCACCACTGTTGATGATTGTACTAAAAAGCATTAAAAATTTCTATAGTTGTATGTTTATCATTTTGACTATATAAAAAAAAGAATCATCACAGAAGTACTAGACAGAAAGCATCCTGGACAGCAATCCAGCATCAAAGGGGAACAGGAAATAATACTTGTTAGCACCTTGCATGCGACTTAACCAAAACAGTTTACAAACTTAACCAAAATTAAGCCTCACCGCAGATCTGTGAGGCAGGGAAGTGTTATTAGCATTATTTTCCAGATGGGAAAGCTGTCACGGAGGCCTAGGTCACTAAAAGCCCCGGCAGAGTGCACAGTACTGCTCCATTAGTTGATAGCCACTCATGTTTATCCACTAACACAGTTCTGATGCTGCAGCAATTAAAAAGAGCTTTCTACATACGCACATTTATATCTACAGTGGTCATTTGAGCAACAAGTGAAATCAGGATGAACACAGCCACTACTCTCCGGCTGAAGGAACTTCACTAAGAAGCCTCACACAGACAGGGCTGAAACTTGCAGACCAGCTGGCTGCCTAATGTCTTCGTCCTGAGCCAGCTCCTTCTCCCAGAGCCTGTTTTCTGGGGGATGAAACAGATGCACCACAGCTGGACCACCGTCTCCGAGCTGTTCTCAAACCACTGGATTCTGATTATGTTTACAGCAGTACATCTGCAGCCATTAATTCAAATACTCCATTTCCATTAAAACACGTATTTGAACGTCTGTCAAACTTCTTTTCAATTATGTAGAGTTGGCTGTACCTTTCATCTCATGCCTGTGACAGGAAGCCGAGAAGACTGGGAGTGTGCTCCTCAGGCTGCAAGAGCCTGGCTATCTCAGAAGCTGGTTAGCCCCCAAATCCAAGCCCTGGCCCCTTGGCAATGCAACGGAGCTGCTGCTACTACTGCTGCTACTACTCACTCATGCCTTTGGTCATGTTTCTGAGGAGGCCCACCTCACAGCAGGGCTGTAAGCCATGCAAGGAGTCACCTGTGAGCTGGCTGTGGACTGACAGGTTATCCGTGTTACACCATGCCCAAAGAGGAGGCCTCTAACAGGATGACTTTTTCACAAGTGTAGAAGTCACTTGACAGCCGTACAGTCCAACGCTATTGACAGTACCGCATGCCACGTCAGAGGTGGTAGAATCAGCCAGGCCTAGCGATCTATAACAGTACAATTACTGTTAATAAACACTGTTTGGACTGATCTGCATAGTGCCTCGTAACCTAGTGTTTGTGGGAAAAATTGCTTATGGCTTTAGAGAGCATAATAATTTTTGTTAATATCACAAATCAAATGCAGTTAAATGACATTCTCACGCATGCCATCTGGCTGCTAGGCTTGCTGCAAGTTTTTTCTTTCTCCTGCAAGGCAATGAATCCCTGATGCTGACAATTTGCTTGAGAATTTCCCTTCTTTGCAAACGCAGGAAATTTTTTTGAATTACTTCTAGGGTTATGCTATTTCACATTCAAACTCTCAGCCAAATATATTTGCCTTGAGCTATATTTTTCTATTTCTGTAATATTATGAAAACACTAACATAGTTAAAAAAATAAAAATAAAACAGGAATGATAAATACTTACCACTTGGCTTAGATCGTATCCCCAAGGAAGAAAAAGAACTCCCGTGTTATATTTCTCCCAGTGTGAACACATAAAGTTAAACAAGACAATGCTTAAATATATATACATTGTATATACAGAAACTCCGGTCTTCCCATTGTCACGGGAACAGACGGAAAAAAAAGAGAGCACAAAAATGGAGGTAGCCCAGCTATCCAGCCCATGGTCAAATAGTTCTCCCAGAGGACTGCTGGACTGAGTCCTTCGAGCATGTTTCCCATCTATGGAGTCTGGAAGGGTTGGAAAAGGAAAAGAAAGAAAGAATTAGAGCACAACAGGAGAAGTAACTTTCTTCACATAGACTTAACTATATATATATGCATATGTATGTATATATTTACATACAGTTCACTGCTGTATATAATATGGGAAAAATACACTGCAAAGGGAAGCACAACAGTCTTTTCAATACCAACACGTTAGGATTGCTCATAAAATATTTGCCTCAGTTCTCATGTAACTTTGTCCTTACCTCAGTTCTTCTACTGAATGCCACCATCCTTACATGCTTTAAAAAGACATTCATAATTACTTGTCCCCAGTGGCCTTAACACACTCTCACGTCAGTCCATGCAACCACCTTCTCAATAAAATCACAGAGAAGTGTCCATTTGGCTCCACAGCCATCCATTGGTGTTGTGGACTGAGACTTCAGGCTCACAAATTGTGCTTGTGGGGTGGATTCACCGAGGCATTTATGCTACCTGATGCTAAGGGCCCCAATGACAAGAGACTTGGCTGAAATCTGAGGATACAAGAATACCTTACTGCTAACCTGAGTTACATGTTGATCACTTAAGTGTTTGAAAGATGCCCACACTGCAATGGATCTCACTCTGCAATTCGGTTTGACAGCATGGCTTGAGTCGATCTGAGTTCATTGCCACTGAGCAGGGAAGGACCTGCAGCTTGCTCAGCTAGTGGAAAGACACCCAAACATGAAGTTTTCTTCTGGTCACTGAACAGAGCTGGCTCTGTGAGTGTACAAAAAGCAGTGGAGGTGCCACAAAGAGAGGACAGGGAAGGCAGGGAGGAGGAGGAAGGTCTAGCAGCTGTAACTTTTCTTGGCTGCATTGTCAAACCACGCCCTTAGCCTCCGCTCTGAGGCTGTGCTGGTGAGCATTTTAGAAGTATTTTCTTGTTTGAATTAAGTGTAAAAACACAGGTTGAACCTCTTTGGAAAAAGTAAACAGAACAAATCTTACACAAATTGCTCACTGTAATAACACAGAAAAGATTTTTTTATGTTGTTTGGAAGGTACTATAGCTAGCAATTATTTGCTACCGATAGCATTATTAACCCATGGCTGACTGAAGGGAGAATTCAGCAAAGTGAGACCAAAGAATCCACAGCTGCTACAGATCACGTGCTACTTACTTCTCTGGATTATTTGGCAGCACTCTGGGTTTTGTTCAATGTAAATATACTTCAGGGATCTAAACCAGGAAAACATGAAATTTCATTTTGTCACAGATTTTAGAATATCTCCCAATTGTAATACCTGAACAGCTGTGAGATATCTTCAAGTCCAATACAAAGCTCTTGAGACAGTTCTTATAACTCTAAAAATTAAAGATCTCATAGGGGATTTCAAACATGTCTTGCCCCCGTCTTGAGCCATATTTTCTCCGTTAACATTGCCATTGAATTAACAGCATCTTACTGAAATGTGCAGAGAGAAGATTGTGTATAAGCTTGTGGTTACTTGAATAGTGTAGTATAAATGTAAAAATTCTTTACTAAAGGTTGCTTCTGAAACGTAGGTTAGCAAATAGGTACCTAAGCATTCCTAAGTATTATATGGTCTTTCATATTTCAAGAGAATTCAGTCATATGGGTAGTTCTTTTTTAAAATGAGAATGAAAAAAAGGTTCATATATTCATAAATTATTTTAGGTTGTCACCAAAAATACTCACATTAGATACTAAAATATGCACATCATGGTGAAACAATGGTTTTTGTTTTGTAGGGATATTTTATTAAAAACTCTTAGACTCATAATAGTATCAAGAAATACAGAACTTCTAATTATAACAGACATGGGGAGAAACATGGGAACTTTATAATACATGCATAAAATGTTTTCATAAAATCTTTATCCACCTTTTCCCCGTGGTTTCACTAGCTCTTCAAGGTATCACAGAATCATAGAGTCACGGAATAGTTTGGGTTGGAAGGGACCTCAAAGATCCCCTATTTCCAAACCCCCTGCCATGGGCAGGGACACCTCCCACCAGACCAGGCTGCCCAAAGCCCCATCCAGCCTGGCCTTGAACACCTCCAGGGATGGGGCATCCACAGCTTCTCCGGGCAACCTGTCCCAGGGCCTCACCGCCCTCTGAGTGAAGGATTTCCTCCTAACATCTAATCTAAATCTCCCTCTTTTAGTTTAAAACCATTACCCCTTGTCCTATCACTCCACTCCCTGACACAGTACCTACCCAGCTTTCCTGTAGGCCCCCTTAGGTGCTGGAAGGCTGCTACAAGGTCTCCCCAGGGCCTTTTCTTCTCCAGGCTTAACAACCCCATTGCCCTCAGCCTGTCTTCATAGGAGAGGTTCCCAAGCCTTTTGAACACATTTGTGGCCCTCCTCTGGACTCATTCTAATACCTCCATGAAATGATATGTCCATATCAACAGTATTTTCTGTTTTAGGTGTCATTTTGAAATCATTCATGCCAATAACAGTGCATGTTCAGTAGTGGACGTACACTGTGTTTCCATTGCTCTAGAATTCTTATATTTTGTCTCAGGACAGTTTATAAATATTCCATTTTATTAAAGTTTACATAACTTCAAACTATTAGAATTCAAAATAAGAGATAAAAGAATTCAATTTTATGGAAAGGGAAAGTATACCAAACCACCTTAATAAGGGGGAAAGAAAGAGCATGCTAGAAAATTTGGAGAGAGTAACTGTGTCATTAAAAAGAAGCTGAGAGAGACTTAAGTTGCATATCTGGTTAGTTATTATGGCTCTTTGCAATCTTCCAATGGGAAAACTTTGGCCATGGAGAATTAAATCTGAGACTAAATATTTCATAAAGTGGCTTGGACAGCAGACACAAAAATCTGCATATACATCAGTTCATTATAGCTTTGACTGTCAACATCATACTCCTAGCCTTCCAAGCATTCGGAACTACAGGCCTCACTGGCAAACAGCATCTACATTAAGAACCTCAGAAGCCAAATTTCCGAAGAGCTTTCTGGGGTGTCGTACAATAACAGCTCCAATATGGAATTCCTATTTATGAAACAATAGCCACTTCATGACATTTCCTACAGTTACAAAACAAATGGTTTTCACAAAAGAAACTATGGCTTCTGCTAATGATTAGAGAGAGCTGTTAGGGAAATCTGGCTGGTAATCAACTTCAAGTGTTGTTTGCCCCCGTGATTTTTAACGTACAAATACGAAGAAATTCTGGACAAAATAATTTTGACCCAAACTCCCACTTGAATGTAAAAAGCCAAGATACTCACAATATAGAGAGAGATGTATGCACAATGGGATACACTCAGGTTAATGAAGATGTCTCAACATGCACAGGTCTGGTATCAAAAGCAGTCAGTATCTTTGCCCTGCACTGCAAAAGACACTTGTATCTAGCCCAGATATCTTAACTATGGCACGCAAATATATGGCTACACTGTGCTGTGAAGGTCCTTACAGGAACCAGCTCCAAAAGAGCTAACGCACCTACACAGCACAGTGTAGTCCATGTAAACATACCAGCTTGAGTCCTCCCAGAAGGAGCTCTGCAGCACCATGCTCTAGATTGGCATGGGTTAGCTTTGCAGAGAGAGCAAGACATCCATCTGATGTCCATGTCGCTCCAAGATGCGCATCAGTCCATATCTACAACTGAACTGACTGAGGTGTAGCTTCACAAAACTGCACAGCAAAGTGTAATGGACCTAGAAATATCAGTATGCTGTAAAATGTGGAATATAAACCAGAAAATGATTTAAAGGTGTTATTGAAGAAAAATAGCCACAGGGGAAGAAAAAAAAAAAAAAGATATCCTCATGAGAAGCTCAAGCTGGTCATACCACTCATACCATCTCTCCTGACACACACCGTAAGTACCAAAGTGCCTTAAACGCCAGGTTAAAATGCTACGTTCGTTTTCCTTTTTCTCTGCTTTGTCCTTTATTTTCCCTGTCTTTGAAAGCACTTTCTGTTAATACAAGTGTCAGGTACCTCCTCAGAATGTTACTGCTGCGTGCCAAGAATTTTTATGAAACCCAACAGCAATGACTGCTGCTATGTAATGATTTCTATTGTTCCTCTATAAAAAACAGATAAGAGCTATAGTCATAGAAGCTTTAATATATCATTAAAAATTGGTGGGTTTTTATCTTATTTTTGTTGTTGTTGTTGTTTTGTTTGTTTTTGTTTTCATCTTAGAGAACAGTTTTGGGGAGCAATAATTTATTTACTGTAACTCTTCATCTTGGAATCAGCCCTAGCAACTATTAGATAAAACTATGTGAAGACGTCAGATGTGTGAATCATTCCATTGTACCTTACCTAAAGCATAAGCACAAAAGGTGGTAAAAGCACTGAACAGCCACACCCAGGTTGGAACAAGTCCAGGACTGGTACCTGAAATAAATTGAGTAGTGAGTCAGCACAGCAGTGGTTAATATCAAAGCAATCCACCGAGATATGCATATACATATACACAGGCTGCCACTGATTAGCCTACAATGGCAAACAGAATTAAATATTTGCTTTTGACCTTCAATCATCTTAGGTCATCAGCCAGCCCTGACATTTCAAGCAAACAATGACCAGGCTTGAATATATTTATGCTGTAAATAAAAGAAGATAAACTAAAGGTTTTTGGTCCTGAAATGAATTTAGTATTGCACAAAATAATAATAGAAGCTAAGCAACAATTTTCACAGGTCATGGGAAGAATGGGAAGAATACCCATCAAAAATAGTTTATGTCTATGCAATATTAAAATAATAATAATAACCTTTAAGCCTGATCATTTTTATTAGCACCAATACGGGTTTTGTATGGCAGTTTTAACATACAGATCTGAATAGGAAAATTTTGCCCTTAGACTAGGACAGGTATTAGTACCTTTTTTTTTTTTTTTTTTCATTTTGATAAGGTGCCTAACATTTTTAATGAATCTGGGAAAGAAAGCTGAATTAGACGGAATGTGAGGTTCTGTCACTGCTCTCCTGACAGCAATAGCCCGAGGTTATTTTTCAAGAATTCAACCTTGTTTTCCAAAGAGCGTTCTATTCAAATTAAACGTTCTCCATTGAGGGCATGAAGTAAGCCAGCAGTAAGCTCTGCGAAGCCCCCTGGGGTTCCTGCACAAGGGAAGGCTTGCACCCAGGGGTGTGCCCGGACCCAGCACCTGAAGGTGCACTCCTCTCATCTCAACACCTCACGCTGCCCGCGTGAAAGAGAAGATGGCACTTCCTGACTCCTAGCTGCACGTTTTCAAACTGCGGAATGAAAAACAGCTGTCCAGGAAATTAAGTCTTTTATTCCTGATCCTTTGCATGGAATTGATATCTGATATTCAAAAGACTCGTTAGATTGCAGGACCGCTTTCAATCACTACAGAAATGATGGACGCTGTGCTCCCGTGAAACCAAGAGCCGCCTTGCACACTGCACACAGAAGAACATACTTTAGTCACAATCTCAAATATCTTCGACTTCAATATGTATCTACTGGGAATGTGTCAAGATGAAATTATGCATCGAGAGACCTGTGCTGTCTGCTGTACTATTACAGAACTTGGCAATTATCAGCTGTATGGAATAAAATGCGAGTGTTTAAGCGTGAGGGTAGGTAGATACACAACATGTAACTGGAGATTCATAACCTCTGAAAATGTGATGTTCATACAGGATCATTTTTAAACCAAATCTGCTAGCAAATATCTCTAGAATTGTTGCAATAAACATACAAACAGCTCACCACAGAGTACCTCCCGAATCCAACCATATGCACAAGAAATTAAAAGTAACAAAAAAATCAAATGTTATTGTTTCAGGAAATAAAGTGCTAAGCTTTGCCCAAGTTGTCTAATTCAAAGAAAAGCAAAGATCTCTATATGTTAACCACCTGGGAGATGCTTACCACTCTTGTTTTTTCAACAACTGGTCTGAGAAGTCCAGAATTAAACACTGGCTATGCTCAGGAGCAATCAGCTCCAAAAAGCTTTTGGCTTGGTCTACCAAAAGGAGAAAGTACAGGTTTGGACTTAGAGAATGTCAAGAGACATTTGTTTAAAAATTCCTTTTTTTGTCTAGAAGCAGTCTTGAATGGAGGGGGGGTGTGTGATTTTTTTATGGAGAGGGAAATTAACTCATTCAGGCATGGATTCAGGTATTAGGAAATGTGAAACCAACGAAAGTTTTATGAAGAACATTAGGGTGTTCTTTGACTGTGCATTAAAATTCTGGCACACACTTTAAATAAAATGGGATATTATAACAGAGTTCAAATAGTACATGCTGAAACCCATATTTAGGAATTAAATTATTTTTTCCAAAAAAATTACCTAAATTTATAATGCCATGTGTGAGGTCAGACCCTCCCATATGCAAATGAAGCCCTGTTAAGGGAATGAGTGTAAGTTTCAGGTGTGTCCCCCCTGTATTACTCAGAAGTGTGACAGAAGCAGCTCTGTAATTCTGAAAAATTACAATATAAGGATATTTACCTGAGGCAGTGTAGTCCCAGTCATAAAAAGATATTAGAAAATAATTAACTAAAATCATGACAAATCCAGAGAATGTTAGCAGGTTGGGAGCAATCCACAAAGGCACTATCTGTTAAAAAGAAAAAAGAGCTAAGAAATATCCTCTTTCAAATTAGAAGTCCTATTTTGAACAAATATTTTATATTTTTTATCAGGAAAGGAGAAGCCTGTATAAGACATAAGCAATATTCGTATTACAGCATGTTTTTCCATTTCAAATTAAAATGCAATTTTAATTTCTGGAGCTATTTATTTTCAAATGCCACCCTTTTGCGTTTGATCATTGTGACTGCAGTAAAAACATGACATAAAAATCTTGCATTTCCTCTGTTATACGCTATCCTTGTTTTCCCAGACACCAAGGAAAGCCTCTCACCACTTTCCGTAGCACAACTGACAGAAGCCTACAGCACCCCAGTGTGGCAATTCAGCATCTAGGTGGCAGGGTTTTGCTAAGTTTTCTATTCCCACACTGCAACAAGGAAACTTGCTCTTCTAAAACACGCTAATAATTTCCAATTCCAGACATCAACAAAAACAGACACTTTTAGATTAAGAAGAACTCGTTACAAATAGCTCCTGATGTCTCCTGATAGTAACTTTCTGCAGAGTCACCATCTTCAGCCATAAACTATGAACACTACATTAATTCGTTTGACTTTGTAGGGTGCTGAAAAGGATTCTCTGTCTCCTCCTAAGCCTCTAATTTCTTGTCCCATTAACCCTTCTCAGCTTTTCATCCCCTGTGGCTTTCAGGTATTCGTTACACTGCAGCAGGGGTCCTTTATGGTAATGCTCTTCCCAAATAGACCATTTTTTTCCAAAATATTTTCTGAAATAATATACACAACTGTCTACATGATTTTTAGACAGAATATACTTGCAAAAAAAAAAATTGTCTAAATAGCAGCTACTTCTGTAACTGAAAAAACATATCAATATATACAACATAAAAATATTGGAGACTTATAATCAAATTCTTTGCAGCATCTATGGACTAGAAATGTATATAAAGATGTACTTCAACACTATAAAATATTACCAAACAGTTTAAATATTATAGAATAAGAGGCAGAACAATTTCATATACTAATATTAGTTTTGAAATCAAAATTTTGTTAATTTCTTTGGACTAGATACATGGACAGATAGATGAATAGATATTCATTTATATACATTTTACATTTCCTCTCTTCTACTTCTATGTAAAAAAAAAGTATGAAATGTTAGACAGATTAACCATCACAATTAGATCTTCTTTCTTCTAGTATATTACAAACAACAGTATTCAAGAGAATCGGTACAACTGGTAATATACACTGTAAGGTTTCAAAAAATCAGATGAAAATCCCTGAATGTTTTTCTGTTATGTTTCTTAGATGTTTTTCTTAAGTGCATTGGAAAAAATATCAAATCTGGTAGCTGCATTCCTTATGACTAGGAATTTGTTGGTAATTTTAAAACATTGTATATCAGATCTTAGAGTAATTAAAGTAAGGAATGGAATGCACACAGCTACTACACATCTATGTATACCTATATATAAATCTGAGTTTTCAAAACCCCGATTCTAAATCCCTAAGATAAGTGATAGCACATGTTTCCAGAAGTTCCTTTAAGGGTTCATGTAAGGAAAAACTCTCTTCACTGCACATCTTACTAAAGCAACTGCACAGTCTGGATGCAGTGACAGCATCACATCTCCTCTTTTTGATACCTGAGTATGCAGAAACTTAGTAAGATGGAGGTTTGGTGCAAATCTCCTGTTACGGGATTTGTCTATTGTCTGTGATCTTACATGAACCAAGGACAGATGCTGATGAAGAAATTCTAGACTGGTCTCTTTTACTGTAAAATGGGATAAAAATAGTGCCTTAAGACAACTCCTGTATGAACCATTTACATGGATATACAGATGCCATCCAATGTATTGTTTTAAATGACTGATTTCTCCTGTATGATTCATAATAATTGTTGACTAAAGTGACGTGCCATAAATGTCTGCTTCCTAATTAGGTTCGCCACTCTAAATAGCCTCAATATCATTAGCAAGTTATTATGGGAAATAATTTCTACTTACACAGTACAAACATGAAGACATTATTTTAACCCACTTTCTTGCTAACCTGTATTTTAGGAAGGAAACCATCAAAGCACGTTGTTACAAGTGCAATCCCTTTGGTAGACTTGCAATGAAAAACAGTTACAGGAGATCGGTCCTCAGGAAAACAGCCTCTCCTCCAATTAGTCATTGTTTTGATCCTTAACTGACCTAATCTGTCTAGGTATTTAGAAAATATTCCAGTTGCAAAATCCCTTTTGTTATAGTCAATGCCCATTATTCTTTTGGTTAGCATTACGCTACCATCACCCTGTTTCACAATTCAGAAATCACAGGGTGGTGAAAATTAACTTCTCAAACATTTTGGAAAAACACAGCCTGACTTTGCCAGTATCCTAGTATCCTATATAAGAACACATTCCAAACTTTATTATCTAATTAACAAACAGGAGAAGTCTAATGCATTGATGCACTACATGATTAATACAACCAGAGGCTCCGCTGGGAAGCATAACATCTGCTCTATTGCAAAATGTTCTATACAGTTCCACAAAATACTGATTTCTGTTTTAACGGGTCCACAGCCATTCATGCTTAAAGCCTTAATCCAAACAACAAATGCTTTAACATAATCAACTGCCTATGTGGATAATAATCTGTAAAGTACATGTATTTATATAAGGCTCTGTAGAAACTTGAAGTATTCTTTAAGTAAGTCACTTGAGACCACTAAAATTCTACTCACGCATGATTCTAGTGATAAAATCAAAGTTCATAAGGCAAGTGGGGGGTCGGTTAATTGACTTCAATGGAGCTGGCATACACCTGTGTATCCTAGGGGGACTTCCTCCTTTTCCTCTTATTGTCCTGCACAAGTGTGATTTCTCATGAATACAAATACAGGAAGAAGATTCAGTGAGTATAGGAGCTAAGTAATGCTATCCATTATCCATCAGATAACAAGCCATGGTGCTTTATTATAAAACACAAATCTTAATTAAAGGCAAAAGGACTGCTCATGGAATTAATTCATTAAGCATACGTATCTATAGATGCATAATCAGAATAATTTTAAATAATACATAGAGAAAGTTAATTGTTACCCTATAGTTTCATGCACAGTGGCAAAGCTGCCATAGGAAAGCCAAAGACAGGACAACACCCACTCCAGCCCTTGGTTCTTCACTCAGATCGCCCACTTTCAGCACTGTGCTCTGCTTTGGGTTCTCCCCAAAGTGAACAAAATCATGCTCAGCTAGAATTTAAGGAGGTTTAAGATATGTAAACCTCATATATAAGCTTATATAACATATATAAACATTTTTCATAGGGCCTATCACTCTGTGCTCCATGGGGACTGTCAAGCAGATTGATGCTTTCCTGCCAGGAAAACCCTGCAACTGTTAGAAGAACTCAACCCCAAAGGAAGTTTTTCTCTGGTGATACTTTCTCTTCAGTTTGATAGCAGTCAAATATTTTTGAATCTCCCAAACCAGAGCATGACTGCACGGTAAAGGCTCAGCTGCACGGGACTCCTGAGTGCTAGGGGTGCTTTTCTGCCTCGGTGTTTTCCTCTATATTAAGATGGGAATGGAAACAATTTTCTCTCAACTGAATTATTGAGTTTAGTTTCACATCTTGGAATTGCTTTTCTTTTATACCAGGCTCTGGTTATTTTTTAATTCTGAAGTTAGGACATATAAACAGTTTTAAGAAATTACATTGAGGTAATGAACAAGATATTACAATTTTCTTGCTGTGCCAAGCATAAGCAACAGCTGAATTATAAAACCCAAACATGGCAGGCCACCTGCATCCATTTTTCTTGCATATACTTTTCCTTTAAGTCTGCTCCACTCTAAAGATTTCCATTTCAGAGACATGCAGAAGTTATTGCTTCCTTGAAGATCAATAAAGTTTGTATTTATTTGAGATAAAGCCTCTTCTTTTGCCAACAAAAGCAAAGCTAATTGTGAGCAGTTTTATTTTTAAAAACAGCAGATCATAATGTATTCAAGGGATGCCATCTCCCAATCGTTACGGTGATCATGGTAACCGCTCTCATTTTCAGCTTCTTAGAGAAATGCCGAGCTCCCTCAAGCAAATACCCTTGGGAGAAAATGAGACAGCACTTGCATAAAATCACTTGCACAGCACAGAGATAAAGCCATGCTGTTGTTAGGTGGCATATGCTGTACAACAATAATGTGTACTAAGTAAACCCTTTAATGTCTGCAAAGCTGTTTAACGAAAGATGCAACATTAACTGATGCCTGCTACATAATGATCAGAAAAAGAAAAAAAAATAAAATAAAATAAACCTTGTTTCTCCCCCCCCAAAAAAAACACCTCTAAATCCATACATATTCATCTTATATAGCTATGTGTTCAGTAATATGTTATCTTTTATATGGATGTCTTAATTTCAGCTTTATTAATCAATATGTACCTTTAAATGAAAATACTTTTTGTATTTAAAATAAATTCTTAGATTATCATGTGATATTCTGTTAAATAAGACTCCTACCTTAATAATTTTGTTCCAGATGGGCTGCATAACATACACAGATAAAGGATTTGTATCCACAGCATTGTACTGTAAGGAAAAAAAGCACAGGTGTTAAACAAAGCAGTGAACAATGCATACTTTATCCCTGTATGCTCCTCAGCATCTAAGAACAGTAATTCTGGGTGTAACTGGTGCAAATTTATTTTATTCTGATGAACATTCTTACAGCTCTAATTTAATTTAATAGCACCAACCTTATTTATGTTTATCTTTCCAGTATCTTTATGTACAAAAACAAAGGTCTGGGCTGATATAATGGCAAACAGTTGTGCAATCACACTTTACTTTTAAATTCTCAATCATTTTACAAGCTATCCTATGACAGCCTGCATTTCTAAATTAATTTTCAATTAATATCTTTATTTGCACCATCAGTAATGCATAGCCTCAGCAGCAGTTCATTGTTGGTGTGTAAAAAATATAGTGCATATGGAATATGGTCATAAGTGGAATATTGTCTCACAGAGATACACAGCTTTGGACACAGTCATATCTCCACTATGCTAATTAATGTAAGACAATGTTACCATAAAAATACGTTCTACAATATCGTAGTTCATTACCAAAACAAAATTTTCCTATTGGACAGAGTTATAAAAATATTACACATTTTTTTGTATATTCCAGTAATTGCATATCTGCAACTTCTGCAAAGAATTTAAGAAATCTGAGCCTGCCTTGAATTGCTGTCATCTACCTTCTCACAGAGGACAGTATCAAGATGTAGCCTGCCTTCACACTTAAGAGCACACACCCAGAACTATATGCACAAGAATGATTTTCATTGATAATGTCGTTCACAGCCAAGTTCTTGAACACTGGCAAGTCTGCAGCAGAAGAATTTATATTTATTGGGGTGGACATGCAATTCTTTCAGAAATTTGTGGACTTTGAAAGAACATACATGGCATGTGTGTTAGCATGATGCATGAGACTCCCAAAAAGAATCACGTGTATCTGTACACAGCTTTGTCCAAACATTGTGTGTGGGCAATTAGAGTAAGATAATGATTCATTAGACCACAGTCTGTTGAAGGTGTTCACACATGGAAGAGCTGATGATGGCTTTCATTTCACCTAGCTTTAACGAATAACTCTTTGTTTGTTCTCTCTATAGTTCATTTATCTACCTATCTCAGCCAACTGCACATGGGATGAGCCTACACTCTTGAAATACCTGTTTCAACTCATTAATTATCAAAGGAGCCTAGACACTTATCTTAAACTTGGGCACCTTTCAGGTGACTGAGGTCTAGCAACATTAATCTTGATCTCTGTATGCCCATTCTCCAAGTTTTAACACACACACTTCACCTGCACACTTGAGTTGTCAAAGAGCTTTCAGTGCACAAGTGCCAGCAGGACAAAAAATTAATGCAGCGTGCCTCCATTTTTGAGTTCACAGTCCATGACTCTTCATTCAACCTTTCTGAGCTCCTGAGGATATCAGCCTACAGAGGGCTTCACCACATTTCCTTTTCCTATCTGCATACAAAGGATGTATTTAAATTACTTTCCGGAAAAAAAGAAAAAAAAAAAAAAGAAGAAAAGAAAAACACTTGCTTAGTTATTTTTAAATTTGTGGTTGTTTTGATCAAGATAATAAATGTAGTATATTTGTAAAACTTAGAACATAGCTATATGTTGTGAACATGTACATATTAATAGACTCATAGAACAGCTTAGGTCAGAAGGGCCCTTACAGACCATCCAGCCCAACCCCTGCCATGGGCAGGGACACCTCCCACCAGCCCAGGTTGCCCAAAGCCCCATCCATCCTGGCCTTGAGCACCTCCAGGGATGGGGCATCCACAGCTTCTCTGGGCAGCCTGTGCCAGTGCCTCACTGCCCTCTGAGTGAAGAATTTCCTCCTAATCTCTAATCTAAATCTATCCTCCTCTAGTTTAATACCATCCCTCCTTGTCCTATTATAATCTGCCCAAGTAGGAAAATGCTCTCCATCTTTTTTATAAGTTCTCTTTAAGTACTGAAAGGCTGCAATGAGGTCTCCCTGGAGCCTTCTCTTCTTCAGGATGAACTTCTCCAGGATGAACATGTGCTGGGGGCACTTTATATTAGATATTAGATATTGACAAATATCCAGGAAATCACCTATAAACTACTGGTCAGACAGGGCAGATTAACTTTCCACTTGGAGTAAAACATACAGTTTAGTGAAGTGTACATCACTTATTTTTTCTAAAGATATGTGAAGTTTCACTTATGTGTATCATTTTTCTCTGCTGCTGACACCCATACTTAAACCATGACATAATTACATCATCAACACCTTTTCTGACAGAATATATATTAAAATTCTGAAATACATTACATAAGCAAAATCAATTTGCGGGTTAAAGTTTTCACTGTTATATATGTATTTGCAACTCCACATACTGTATGTTATACCATATCTTGCAAACACTGCTTGTTACAACTGACCTTTTGATGGCACAGCTTTCATATAAATAACCCAGACTGATTTGGGATGTAGGATTTGCTTATATTAATGCCAGAATAACAATAATACCAAGCCATAAGATCCCTATGTAAATTGAATAGTCAGCTAGTACTTAATTCACCCAAGAACTAAGGGAATCCACTGAAAATGGGGGAAAATTCAAAGTATTCATTAGTGCTATTGAGGTTGCAGGTGTCCAGGAATCAGACCAAAGTTTCTCTGTAACTATTGCTTGTTTTCTCACCTCAGCTCTTACTTGAAGACTACATGAGGTTTGTGACAACTTGCTGACCAGCAAGCTCAGCAGATTGAGCCATACCTAAATAAGAAGGCACAATACGTCACCTTGGCTCCTGCTCTTTTTTCTTTGGCTTTCTCCTTCTCCTCCTCACCCCAGCCCTTCAGAGTGATGAATAAAATCATACAGTCCTTGTTAAATAACAGCAGCAAAATGAGGCTTTCTACCCAAAGTATTCACTGGCTTTCCAGAACAACTACTTGCTCCCAGGAGAAAAAGGAAAAATTTTATTTATTATTCAAAACGATTCTCTTCTCACAGAGATATTTTGGAAAACTTAAGACACTCTCAACTTCTGTTTCCTTGACGGTTTCCAAAGTCAAGGATCAAAAAAGTCTTTATTTGTTACTTAAAAAAAAAAAAAAAAAAAGAGCATGATGGTCAGGTTGTGTCACCTGGAGACGTTTCAAGAATCCTCACGCTGCTCCCCGTTCATTTCTATGCCTGTGGATGAGCTGCGGTCCTCTGGGTGGGGACGGAACATTCAGATTCAGTAGGCATGAAGAAGAATGGAAATTTCTCTTCCCTATTCAGTAACTTTTTTTTAGTCAGACCAAAGGAAACATACATGGAAAAAAAAACATTCTGCCAGTTTTCTGTCATGGCAAAAATAATATTTAACAAACAAAAGCTGCTATGCAGTTTAACACTCTGCTTTGCTCCACTCCTAAGAAGCTACTAATCTCAAGGTCATTAAATCCTCAGGAGTTTAATTGTCATAGCTTCCCATAAAAGTAAATTACTTGGTAATATGCCCACATTATGATCAATGAATGTGAATGTGAGAGCATACCAGAACATGATGTGAAAAAAGTGCTGCCATTTGCTACTGCATAACTCTGACATTTTCAGGGTGCTTCTGTTAAAAGACAGCAGTGGAGGATAAGACTGTTGGAGGTGTTTAAGTGATACAAATGCTAAGCACTCTCCAGCAAACCCTTTTTGTACTAGAAAAGGGGTTTTGGTTGTTCTTTTATTTACATGAAGAATGGATTGCATTAATCAGAAAGTTTCTATTAGTTATTACAAAAAGAAAGTTGCAATATTTAGGAGGGAATGGCAGTAGCAGAATAGGAAAAATGGCATTAATCAGCTCCTTCTTACTGCCAGGCTTGAAAATTACTTCTGGTGGTGGTGTTTTTTAAATAGCTGATATCTCCTTGAAAGCCATCTGCTTTCCCTCTCCATGTTAGCAATGGCTGCTGCCAGAGGACGATACAGAGGGCAGGCAGGACGCACAGACAGCAATGCACACAGACACACACACACATACGTGTGCAGCACGTGTCAGACACGCTCTCCCTGTGCTGACCTCCACCCAGCCGCTCCAGCACATCGAGCCGGAGCTGTTCAGAGGAAAGGCGAGGGGATTAAGGCAAAGGGCTGGGGTGAGGATGAAGGTTTGAACAGTAAGAAAATGCACACTAAGGAAACAGAAGTGAGCAAGGGAAATGAGAGGAAAGAGAATGAGCCAAAGCAAAGGTTTGGCTACTCAGCAGAGAGAAGAGATGGGCGAATACAAGAGACAACTGGTCCAGAGGGGGCGAGTAGCAACAGCCTGTCAGTGCGTCCAAAGCAGTCTCCATGACCAAGGTCTTCACTGCTCAATGCATGACAAATGTTACCTTCTGGCTCACATCCACACAGCTTAGCAACACCTCCTGTTACTGCAGACTGGTCACATCCACACCTCACTGCTCTTGGTGGAGGGGCTTGGGGTCATGTTACCTGGTCCTGTGCAGCTAATACACTGTTAGCATTGAGTACAAGTACATCTCAATTCAAAGTATCTGAAACAACCTGAAGACCACATCGTAACCTGGTAATATGGTATTTTCATAGCAGGAGAGTGAATGTTGTGCATGTTCAAAGGCCCAAATGCCCGTGTGGGGAGAGTGCTGAAGGATGGTGAAAGCCACATAATGGTGCATAATGCCTCCAGAATGGACTATTTACAAAACAAAGCTATTGTCTTGGAGACTGTTTCTGGAAAAGAAAAAAGAATGAGCGAGTGAGCCAACCATTAACCAAAGCAGGCATCTGGATCCTCACTAAGGTCCCTGGCCCTCTCCAGCACTGCATTATGGAGTTATCCCAAGAATAAAAATGTGGAGTGACCACAACAAAAAGAATAATATAAAACATATACCCACATTAATTTCAGAGTCAGGAAAGAAAGCAAGTTGCAAGAAATGTAGCTGCATTACTTGCTGGGAGATATTTACTTTAGCCAAGCTTGTCATTATGCTAACAGACTATTGCTTTTCTGTTACTTATCTTACTCCAGGTAGCACCGTACTCTGCAATGCAGCCACATCCATTCAGAGATACAGAGCAGAACTGTTGTGAATTCCTTACATCTCAATTGCTAGCATCATAATGACTCTGTAGGTGTTGATTTCATCTTAGCAGCAACAGATTTTCAATGCTTTACATTCCTGCCCAGAAATCAGCCGATTCAACCTGTTCATTAAAATTCACAAGAACTTCATGAATCAGCACAGGCTTCATTGTCCCCATTGTATATGTTGCAAGACTGAGGCACAGATGGACTGTGATTCACCCTAGGAGTATCTAGCAAAGGATACAGCCACAATGTTGTTAGACGTGTCATGTTTGTATAAATAATTTAAGTATAAGCAATAACAGTACCAGTGTATTCAAATAAAGTCACCCAAATTAGCTCAGCTTTATGCTCAAGTTCACTTTTGCGAAGGGAAATAAGTCTATCCAGAATGCAAAGGCTGGAAAGCTTCTTTTCCAGACAAACTAATGTTTAAAACAGCCATTTATCAGATAGCAATCACAGTTTTGGTTGCAATATTGAAGGTTCTGTGATCCTTCCAACATTTAATGTGAAATTAGATGCCTGCTGTGGAAGAACACACTAGTTGTTCCCACGCAGAAAAGATGAGAACCATCTAACAACAATGCAAGGATGAACACGAAGGACATAAATATTGTGAAGCCTGCCGTTTTCCTGCGAGCAAACTCAGCAAGCTCAGGCACAAGTATCAAAGAGCCACAGCTGCATATATGTGCTGCATATGGTCCTGCAGGCATGGGTAACCTCCACAGCACCTCCTAAGTCAAGTGTTCATCATATTTGTGTTATCCATGCAAAAAAAAAAAAAATCTGTATATATTAGTTAGCAATGCCTGGCAAAAGAATGAATGATGAAGAAGGGTGAGAACGTGCAAAGAAGTTACTACAAGGTAACAGTATTTGCCTTGAGAAGCACTAGAGCAGATCTACGTGTGCGTGTCATTACCTCTAGATGAGGATTTGATGAATTGAGATAGCCTATGCCTATGGTACATGGATGAAGTACTTCATAGTTCTTGCTGGGGAAGCCAACCAAAATGAGAGAAGCTGAAATGCAGTAAGCTCCCCACGCATGTTACTCAACATAAATTATCTTATTCTTCCACTCTAAAACTAGCTCAGAATGTTATCAGACTTTTAAAGTGTTATCAAAGGTTTAACTGAACGTAGAACCTATAGTCATTTACATCAGTTCAAAATGAATGGAGAAGAGAAGAATGGACCAAATCGTTTTATCCTCCTCTTAAATTAACTTTTCAAAATTAAGTTAGGCAAAATTATGGTCTTTCAATAAGTTATCTATTGAAAATAATAACTCCACAGAGTGGTTTCCTACAATATTTGTACAGTGGCACATTGCAATGGTGGAACCTGAACATCTCCTGATCATTTCCCGGTAAAGCACAAACACAAGCTTGTTATCATTTGGCCTGTAGTTATATCATAGAATCATAGAATATCCTGAGTTGGAAGGGACCCTTAAGGATCATCAAGTCCAACTCTTGACACCGCACAGGTCTACCCAAGTTCAGACCATGTGACTAAGTGCACAGTCCAATCTCTTCTTAAATTCAGTCAGGCTCGGTGCAGTGACCACTTCCCTGGGGAGCCTGTTCCAGTGTGCAACCACTCTCTCTGTGAAGAACCCCTTCCTGATGTCCAGCCTAAACTTCCCCTGCCTCAGCTTAACTCCATTCCCGCGGGTCCTGTCGCTGGTGTTAATGGAGAAAAGGTCTCCTGCCTCTCGACACCCCCTTACGAGGAAGTTGTAGACTGCGATGAGGTCTCCCCTCAGCCTCCTCTTCTCCAGGCTGAACAGGCCCAGTGCCCTCAGCCGTTCCTCGTACGTCTTCCCCTCCAGGCCTTTCACCATCTTCGTAGCCCTCCTCTGGACACTCTCCAACAGTTTCATGTCCTTTTTATACTGTGGTGCCCAGAACTGCACACAGTACTCGAGGTGAGGCCGCACCAGCGCAGAGTAGAGCGGGACAATCACCTCCCTCGACCTGCTAGCGATGCCGTGCTTGATGCACCCCAGGACACGGTTGGCCCTCCTGGCTGCCAGGGCACACTGCCGGCTCATATTCAACTTGCTGTCTACCACGACCCCCAGATCCCTCTCTTCTAGGCTGCTCTCCAGCGTCTCATCGCCCAGTCTGTACGTGCAGCCAGGGTTTCCCCGTCCCAGGTGCAGGACCCGGCACTTGCTCTTATTGAACTTCATGCGGTTGGCGATCGCCCAGCTCTCCAACCTATCCAGATCCCTCTGCAAGGCCTTTCCACCCTCAACAGAGTCCACAACTCCTCCAAGTTTGGTGTCATCAGCAAACTTGCTCAAAATACCTTCTATTCCTACATCCAGATCGTTTATAAAAATATTGAAAAGTACCGGCCCTAAAATGGAGCCTTGAGGGACCCCACTGGTGACCGCCCGCCAGCCTGACGCAGCCCCATTCACCATAACCCTTTGGGCCCTGCCCGTTAGCCAATTGCTCACCCATCGTATGATGTTTTTATTTAGCTGTATGGTGGACATTTTGTCCAGTAGGATCCTACGGGAAACCGTGTCAAAAGCCTTGCTGAAGTCCAAAAAAATCACATCAGCTGGTTTCCCTTGGTCTACCATACGGGTGATCTTATCATAAAAGGAAATCAGGTTAGTTAGGCAGGACCTACCCTTCACAAACCCATGCTGGCTGGGACCAATGACTGCTTTGTCCCCCAGGTGCGCCTCAATACGTTCGAGAACCATCTTCTCCATGATTTTACCAGGCACTGACGTGAGACTGACAGGCCTGTAATTGCTAGGGTCTTCTTTCTGACCCTTCTTGAAAATCGGCACAACATTTGCCAGCTTCCAGTCTACCGGGACCTCTCCAGACTCCCAGGATCGTTGAAAAATAATTGAGAGAGGTTCCGCGATGACGTCCGCCAGCTCCTTCAGCACCCGGGGATGAATCCCATCCGGACCCATGAAGGACTCTATATCTTGGATGGAAAATTTGGGGAGATCTGCTGATGGAAATGCTTGAAAACCCAATGTTCAATGGTATATATTTGAAATTAAAAAAATTAAAAAAAAAAAGATTTTAACAAGTGATAATGTCTTACTAAACACCCAACTATCCCTCCAATACTATTTATATCAGTCCAAAATTCTATCAGCTTTGTTTAAAAAAATTTGGATAAAGAAGAAGGCATTACACATAGTCTTGACAGTGTTTACCCTTACAAAGGTCCTGGGTGCATCTCTCAGTAGTAACCCTATACCTGGTCAT